CATCTTATTGGATGGGTATCACAATCAGTGGGTCTCAGGTAAGTATTGGTGTCTCCTTGGTCCTTAACAGGAGTTCCCAGCTGAGGGATCAGATGTCCTTCTGGAGAGTTAGGTACCCAAAAATTAAAGGCCTTTCATTTTTACCTTTGACCCTGAGGTCCTAATCTCCACTCTCCTGAAATTTAATCCCAAATGTACATTTTAGGGAATGGGAAGGAAGCATGTATATTTTTCTGGGATTTGGAGATTCTCAAAACCTTCTGTGACATAAAAGAGAAAAAGTATTGTTGTAGGAGGCCGCTTGTTTGTTTCCTGGCTGCCCAGTCTCCCGAAATAACCACACAGAAACCATATTAATTAAATCACTGCTTGGCCCATTAGCTCTAGATTCTTATTGACTAACTTTTACATATTAATTTAACCCATTTCTAGTAATCTGTATATTGCCACATGGCTGTGGCTTACGGGTATAATGTTTCGTCCGGCTCCAGCCCTGCTCTACTATAGGCTCAAAGCAGGTTCTTTATTCATTAACCAATAAAAGCAACACATAGACAGAAAGACCTCCCACATCAAAGTATGAATCCAGGGTATTTTCGAGGAATCAAGATTCCTCCACATTCCTGAGTACCTTTTCCGGTTGCAAATATTTTTCTATTCCTCTTTTTATAATAACGGTTTGTCTTAGATCATAATGACTGTGATGAGGCCGTTTGATTAGTTTTAACATTTTTTACTTTGAAGCGGAGCCTGGCATCCTTGCTCAGTATTGGAAGTGAGGTGTGGAGGGGAGGGTGGAACCCCCCCATGCAGAGGCTGAGAGAATGGAGCCCCTGTGTCCTCTGAACCAGGACTTCCTGTTTCTGAGGAATGTGGGTGGTAACAGGGAAGCTGCTTTTAGTTTTTGTGGGAATTTCTGGTATGTCTAAAGAGTTTGGTGGAATGACAGTTGTGTGACTCTCCAGCAAGTGTTAGATGTACTCCTAACAATGAACTAAATTACTTTTGAGTTTTTCTGGAGACAGAAAACACCAGAGCCATTGGCATGATGAGTTTTCTGCCTGAGTGGTGATCAGTGGGCCAGGATGAAAGGGGCCACCCTCTTTCTTCATGTCTGTGTGCCTCAGTTTCCCTTTAGAGATAATGAACCTGAAAAACTGTAACCGAGGCCAGGCACAATGAGGTGGGCCTTTTTCTTCTGACTTCCCTGGCAGCTAAGAGCTCAGCTTCGTCACCCTGCCATCGTTCTTATGTTGCTGATAGCCACCCTTTAATGCATGATAAATTAACCTAAATAACTTAAATAACTGACTTTTCATTCTTTAATTTTAGCTTTATGATCGGCATCTCTATAGGTAAGCCTCCAGAGTAAAACTTATGTGTGTAATGGAAATGTATGATGTTTGTGCGCTTGGTGTGCGTGTGCATGCATGTATGTGTGTGTGCGCATGTGCATGCGTGTGTGTGTGTGTGTGTGTGTGCGTGTGAGTGCGTGTGTGTGCATGCATGTGTGTGGTGTGTATGTGCGTGTATATAAAACACATCCCATGTGCAGTGGTGGAGGTCAGAGGACAACTTGAAGGAGTTCATTCTTTCCTTCTGTCTTGTGGGTTCCAGGGATTGAACTTAGGTTGTCAGCCTTGGTAGAAGGCACCTTCAGCTACTGAGCTATTTTGCTACCCCTTGTTCTACTTTTAAGCCAATAGCTCACCTTCATCTATCCTGTTACATGTTTACTTTGTAGCATTGTAACTTTGTAACATTTGTAACTTTGTGAACTGTTACATGTTCACTTTGAAGACATGCAGCTGCCACTCAGCCCAGGATTCAAGAGCCTGAAGGCTGCAACTCTTTGGTGTCTTTAGGCTTTTTGGAAGCTGAAGTCACAAGTCATGGCACCCCGGTTCAGTGTACCCTTGACAGTTATGTGACTGAAGACACTGTGTCCTGCCCATTTAGGTTGCCTTTCTGCTTTTGGTGGCTGTTGACTCTTGAGTCCACCACCTTGAGTGCTCTCTGTCTCCACAGTCTGTGCAAATGGGATAGTATGTTGTTGTGCCCAGATCACGACCCCCAGAGAGAGACCACCAGAGAGGCCCAGACTGTAAAAAGCAAGGTTTAATCAGCATAATACAAACATGTTTGGAACTCATCTCCATCCCGGTTACAACAAGGTAGAAAGGAGTTGTATCTCCTCTGTGGGGTAAGCTTTTTTTTTTTTTCAAAGTTTATTAAATTATGAAAGTTTCCATTTCCGCCCCTCCTCCCAACACCCTCCCACTCCCCCCCCCTCCTCCCTCTCCATCCCTAAGAGGAGTCAGGGCTTCCAGCCCTGTGGGAAGTTCAAGTTCCTCCCCCCTCCCTCCAGGTCCAGGAATGTGAGTATCCAAACAGACTGGATCCCAAAAATCCAGTATATGCAGAGGAAACAAGTCCCAGTGTCATTGTCAATGGCTTTTCAGAAAGGCTCCGGGCCAGCCACATTCAGAGAATCCGGCCACATTCAGAAAATCTGGTTGGATCACATGCTCGTTCAGTCCCAGTCCAACTGGCCTTGGTGAACTCTCATTAGATCAGTACCCTTATATCAGTGGGTGATCGCACCCCTCGTGGTCCTGAGTTTTTTTTTTTTCATGTTCTTCCTCCTTCTGCTCCTCATTTGGACCATGGGGGGCTCAGTCCGGTGCTCCAATGTGGGTTTCCGTCTGTATCGCTTTTAAAGGCATAACTACAAAGAGAATCTTTGAAGATGCTTTGACATGGGTACAAGGACTTTTGCTCCCTCACATTTTGTTAAGTAGCTTTTTTTCTTGTTTTTAGAGAGGCCACTGTACCAGGTGGCTGGCTGGGTTGAGCTAAGTGACCTTGTGCTCAGAATATCCTGGGTGGGAGAGGGGAAGGCCACTATCTTCCTGTGAAAACATTCTGCTAGGAAGTTTCTTCTTTCCCCTTTGAGAATAAGGGTTGAGGGAGGGTCCCACAATGTAAAGCCTTTAGGTCTGGTTCTTTCTCCAGTGTGTTTTTGAGATTCATCCCTGTTAGTGTGTGTGCTAGTTTTCTGTTTCGTTTTATTTTAGATAGGTTCTTACTATGCCCCACTGTGGTCTTTAAAAAAATATTTTATGCATATTGATACTCTGCCTGCCTGTGTGTCTATAGGCAACATGCATGCAGGGCCCAAGGAGTCGGGAAAGTGGTTTCTTTGAGATGGTCGCTGATGCATTGGCACTGGAATTGAACCTGGATGTTTTGGAAAAGTAGCTAGAGTTCTTGACTGCTGAACCATTTCACCAGTCCTGGGATTTCCCTTTCTTTTTAAAGACAGGAGGACCTCGCTGTGTTGCCCTGGCAGGTCTAGAATTCACTGTGTAGACCAGTTGGCCTTGCATTTGCAGAGCTCCCACTGCTTCCCAAGTGCTGGAAGAATGTACCACCATACTTGGCCCTTTTCTACTGGTAGCTCACCTGCCTCAGTTTCCCTGTGCTGTGATTCCATTTATCTGTGTTTTCTGTCCACGTTTACTCCTAAGAAGGGTGTCATCTCAGCTCAGGGTGCAGCATGGAATGAAGCTGCTGGGCACATCAGCATGTGTGTACATGTATGTCCATGGGTATTCCTTTCCTTGGGTATATGAGGAATGGTTTTCCCGGGTCATTTGGCAGGTGTGCATCTTTAAGAAACTAGAAGATTTCTTTGCAGGTCACCCAGCCCCTTAGCCTGTGTCCCAACCAACTCCACACCTGAGTGTTTGTGGTCTGCAGTGGCATACTGTAGCCATGTTCATTGTTCCTGTGGTTTCTGTGTCCCCAGTAACTACATGATGCTGAGCATCCTGTGGTCTCCTGTGGAGTGCCCATTCATCCAGTCCCTTTTCCTCCTTTGAGAGGCAGTCTCTCTGCATAATCCTGGAACTCCCTATGTAGGTCAGGCTGGCCTCAAACTCAAGCCTGCCTTCCGAGGGCTGGATTAAGGGTGTGTGCCACCACACCAGCCCTTATTCGCTTTCTTTAAATACTCACCGCTTCCTTTTCCTGAGCAGTCAGAACTCTGTATATTCTGGATCTGAGTTCTGTTAGACACAGGAGTTCCCCGTTCTCCTCCCACTCTGTTTCATTTCTTGCTATGTTATTTCCTTTTGTGGCGTGGGGCTGAGCACTTACTGTCCTGTACTAAGTGGGAAGCCTCACTTCCTGTGTGTCTTTAAGAGTAGGAAGTGGTGGTAGGTGCACGCAGCGAGCGATGCAGTGCCCGAGAGCTTCTGTGGAGCTGAGATTATCCTGTCAGAATTGTCTGTCACATTAGCCTCACCATATTAACCACTTCTTTCAGTGAGGACTTTGAAATGTTTTTCTTTCTTGCTTCTGTCACAACCTGTTCCTAAACCTTGTCCAGGTCTGAGTAAAAATGCCTTGTTTTTTTTTTTTAATTTTTATTTTTTACGGCAGTAGGATAAAATGACTTCCAGAAAACGTACTAAAACAATTTAATTTGGAGGACTGGAGAGATGACAGTAAAGAGCACTGGGTTCTTTTCCAGAGGACCAAGGTCCGATTCCCAGCACCCACGTGGCAGCTCACAACCACCTGTAACTCCAATTCTAGGGGTTTAATGCTTCTTCTGACCTCCCCAGGCATCAGTCATGCAGATGGTGCACAGATACACATGCAGGCAGAACATCCATACACATATTTTTTAAAAAAAATTATTTAGTTCTTGCAGTGTTTGCCTAAAGGTACATAAGAGACCATTTAAAATAGTATAGAGATGTGGAAGGAACAATGTGATTTTATTTAGAGAGCTTGTGGAAAGCCACAAGGTGTCAAAGAAGTGCCATTTCTGTCCCCAGATAGGCTTCTAGGCCCCTGTGGATGCTGATGACTGGGGTTGCTGCCGGCAGTCACAGTGTATTTCTGAATGACACAGGGGTCAGACTGATTTTTCTAGCAGGGTCGCTAGCAATGAGAGGCTCGGGGAAGACCGTAGCCTGGTGTCTAGATCTTCAGATGTGTATTCATCATTATTCTCATCAGTGTGTTGGAAGGCAGATGTAGGGGTTTCCTATTCTGTTTATAAGGTTTGGGATGCTCTTTCAGAATCACAGCCTGTAACTACCACCCTGAGGTAGATACCTCCCCCAACTCCTGGTACCACAGACCTGCTTTCTCTTGTTTTAGGTTAAATTTTTTCTTCTGCTCTTTTTTTAATCTTTTGTTAACTACATTTGGCATAGTTTTTCTTTTACATATTCAAATTCTTAAAGTGTTCAGCATGTTCTCTGTTGTTGGAGGAAGCTGCTTGTTTTGTTCCCAGCTGCTAAGCCCCGAAATAATCACACAGAAACTATATTATTTAAATCACTTCTTGGCCTGTTAGCTCTAATTTCTTATCAGCTAAATATTATATCCTAATTTAACCCATTTCTATTAATCTACATATGGCTGCGTGGCAGTGGCTTACCAGATAAAGTTCTGTCTCCGGAGGGGCTACTGTCTGACTCCGCCCTTCTTTCTCCTTGCATTCAGTTTTGTCCCTCACCCCCCCAGCTCTGTTCTACCCTACCAGGCCAAGCCAGTTTCTTTATTAACCAGTAATATTCACAGCATACGGAGGGGAATCCCACATTAGTCTGTGTCTTCTCCCCCAGTTTCCGTCCTCTTTTGCTTCCATTTCCTTCCATCCTTTTAGACAACATGAGGGATACAATGGCTGCACTAGTGACCTCAAGTGTGAACCTCACTAGTGACCTCAGCTTGAACATTTCTGGGCTGTTGATTTCTTTAGTTGTGGTCCTGTTTTCCTGGTAGTTCTTCATTAAATTCTCATTTTTCCGAAATTTACATTTCTGGATTTGGAGTATGTGCACGCACACACACACACACACTTTCTGGTTTTGTTTGAACACTTTCAAGACTGCACCATAGCTTGGGTTGTCTAGAGCAATGCTAACCTGCTGCTGATTTATAGCCACTATGAGGACCCTGCTATGGCTTTTTCTTCCCAGCTGATGAAGACTGTTCTCAGCCTGAGTTGATCTGAGAAGCGTCCTGCCCTCTTCTTCTATGTGTCTTCTTTCTTCCTGGCACATCCAGCTCCGTGCCAGCTCTAGGATTTCTCCCGCTCTCTGTGTCTGTGCTGCAGGCTCTGACCTTCATGGCCTCACCCGCTAAGCACCTCTGTCTCCTTTGAGCCTTTCTTGACAGGACATCCAGGGGTTCCGTTAGGGCTTCACTCACATCCACCCATGTGACTTACCTGGTGGTGCCTGAGGTGTTAGAAGTCTCTATGCTGCACTGGCTTCCAGAGTCTGCTGTGTAGCGCACGTATTCTCTGGCTTCCTAATTGTTTGTTTTGTTTTTTATTTTTCTCAAGACAGGGTTTTTTTCTGTGTAACAGCACCAGCTGTCTTGGAACTTGCTCTTGGTAGATCAGGCTGGCCTCGGAGTCACAGCAGTCCACCTGTCTTGGCCTCCCAAACGCTGGTATTAAAGACCAGTACTACCATCTCCCAGCTGGCTTCCTAATGTTAAGGCAGATCTTGTTACTGTTGGGGCCAGAAGCCGAAGCCTCCAAAGCCAGTGCTGTTTTCCCAGCTCCTGCTTGCTAGCAGTCCAGGTTGGGTGGCTTCTGACCGGCAGGCTGGGTGACGATGGATGTTAGTGTCCACTGCTTTGGACTGCACAGTGGTCACTTTGGCATTGTTGTGAAGTGTGGTTGAGCAGCATGTGAGATTGGTTCTGTGATTTATCAGTGATGACCAAGATTCCTGTGAAAGCTCAAAGGACAAGAGTCTGCCAGAGGATGATCGTGCCCCAGATTTTTGTTTATTGCCAGAATAACACACTTTTATAGTTGTTAAGTCTTATTATAGTTATTAAGCTGAGAACAGTCTTCATCAGCTGGGAAGAAAAAGCCATAGCAGGGTCCTCATAGTGGCTATAAATCAGCAGCAGGTTAGCACTGCTCTAGACTATAAAAAGTGTTTATAGCCCACACTTTGGGCGGACTGTGTTCCTCATTGAAACTGTTAGAGTTTTCGGTACCTGAAGTTTCTGTTTCTGTTGCTTGGAGGGGTGTTTCATGTTTTATGTGTAAAAGATTTTAACTGTTTGTTCCTTTTGTTTTTTAGGGGCCTGGGAGGAGAGCTCATGAGACAAGCAGGTATGTCTGGGGCCAGAAGCTGCTGTCCTTCACTCCCGTTTGGGGGAAGAGTATTCTCAGGTCAGGCCAGGCCCCCCAATACCAAGTGATAGCAGTGCTTTTCTGTTGGAGATCCTGCTAGTGCCCTGGCTTGCTGCTGTCCCAGGAGGATGTGAATGTGTTCTCTGCATTTTTGAACCCCAGGTGCTCACCTGTCCTATGCCTGTGTATCTCTAGGTGCTCATCCAAGCCCTCTAACTGCACAGCCATTTGACTTCGCATTTTTGTTTGTTGTGTTGTGGTTGTTGTCCTTTTGTGAGACAAGACTGACCTCAGGGCCTGGATCAGCTGCTGCTTTTATTGCTAGTGTAAATAACATACCAGAAAAAAAAGGCAACATACAGAAGGTTTATTTTAGGTTGAGGGAGCAGACTGTCATGGCAGGGAAAATGAGGCAGAGCAGCTCCCGTTGTGGCTGTAGGAGTGTGAGGAGCTGGTTGCACAGCACAGCAGCTAGGAATAGAGATGGAGGCTGATGCTCCACTTTGGTAATGGAGAGAAACCATGGAACGGTGCTGCATCTCTAGAAACTCTTCACAGACACATCCAAGAAATTATTAAGTCGGGCTGGAGAGATGGCTCAGCGGTTAAGATCGTTGCCTGCTCTTCCAAAGGTCCTGAGTTCAATTCCTAGCAACCACATGGTGGCTCACAACCATCTGTAATGAGGCCTGGTACCCTCTTTAGGCATGCATGTAGACAGAATATTGTATACATAATAAATAAATAAATATTTAAAAAAAAAGAAATTATTAAGTCCTATCAGTGACTGTCTAGATTTTCCCAGGACCCACACTAGGCCAAGATGCTCTACCACCAATCTTAAAAAAGCGCTCTTAACCTTATTTTGGATCTCTGGGTTCACCCAGGTTCGTTCTTTTTTCCTTCCTTCCTTTCTTCCTTCTTTCCTTCCTTCCCTCCTTCCCTCCTTCCTTTCTTCTCCTCCTCTTCCTCCTCCTCCTCCTCCTCCTCCTCCTCCTCCTCCTCCTTTTTTCCTTTTAGGTTTTTTGAGACAGGATTTCTCTGTGTAACAGCTCTGGCTCTCCTCGAACTAACTTTGTAGACCAGGTTGACCTCAAACTCACAGAGATCCACTTGCTTTTCTCTCTCCCTGAATGCTAGAATTAAAGGCACCACGCCTGACTCACACAGGCCTTTTTAAGAGGGATCCTCAAGCTAGGTCTGGAGTATCTTCTTCCTGATGTCCATCCGGGTAGCTAGCGTGGGTTTGCTTATGGCCTGGGAGAGTTAGGTGCTGGTTATACACTTTTGGAAAATAATGTTTTTTTTCTTTTTCCATAGTGTGCATTTTAATAAAGAACTTGTCACTTTCCAGAATGCCTTTTAAAGGTGACACCGTTATCGGTAGGTGCTTTCCTTAGTGACACAGATAACATTTTCGTAATACTGCTATTCAAGTTACAAAATAAGAAATGAACTCGTTGGGGTGGGATGAAGTCGAAAGGGCCACAGTATTGGTACATCTTGTCTTGGAATTGCTGCCACCTCCTGCCACCCTCTTCTAGAAAGGACAGGGAAGTGGGAAGTTCTTCTGGAAGCCTCCATTGGTGCTCTTAGCTATGGCTCTGGCTGCCACCATTATATCCAGTCCTGGAAATTTGTGGTCTTCCTTGCTGAAACAGGGGGCAGTCTTTCTCAAGCCTGCTCTAACCTCATCTAAAGTTACTAATTTTATTTAGCTAAACAGAGAGTAAGCATATCTCTGTTCATTTATTGGATATAGTTGAGTTGAAGTTAGGTTTAAGTTGTACAGGAACAGGAGAGATTGTCCAAGGGAGAGAGATAAGATAAGATCTCTTGGGCTGGAGAGATGGCTCAGTGGTTCAGAGCACTGACTGCTCTTCCAGAGGTCCTGAGTTCAATCCCAGCAACTACATGGTGGCTCACAACCATCTGTAATGAGATCTGGTGCCCTCTTCTAGCCTTCTGGCCTGCAGGCATACACGCAGACATAACACAGTATTCATAATAAATGAATGAATTAACATATAAATAAATAAGTAAATCTCTTAAGGCTTGCAGCTGTTACGAAAAAGGAGTTCTCTATCATGATGTGCAAGTCTTGGTTTACAGGGAATGGCATTTTCTACACAGTGGTGGCAGCAGCAGGGTGTGGGGGAGCTAACCTTTAGCAGCCTGAGGTGGGCTTCCTCCTGGAACTGGGGCCCTTGGACTTTTACGCGGTCTGAAGAATGTTCACTCTGGAGTTTCTCCAGGATGCATGTCTGATGTTTTGAATGTCAGCTGAGCACTCTGAGGCAGGTTAGTCATTACCTTTGCTTTTTCACCAGATGGTTGGCAGTGGCTGATAAATGACACTCTTAGAAGTCTTCACCTTGTTTCAAGCCATTCCCGACAGCAGATCAAGGTATGCCACGCAAGATTTCTCTCCCCTGTGCAGAGAGTGACAGCAGCGCTGCCCACAGCGCCTGCCTCGGTCCTCTCATGCACTAACCTCACAGTCTGCAACACCATCATTGGGTCTGCGTGATTCACACAGGTAGCCTAGAACCATGGTAACCAGGGATTTTACTCTTTCTCACTGTACTTTTTGTCTCCACCAATCTTCTTCTCTCTTGTGATGGTGATAGTGTGCCTAGTCACACCTGAGTTCTGGTAGCTGTAGGTTAGGTTGGGAAAGTATTCACATGAAGACGAGAAAAAACACAAACCAGACTCTGCTTGAGCAACTAGATGCTAGCTTATGTTCATCTTTCAGGATCAGAGCTGTGACATCCAGCCCATTTTTAAGGCAGTGGACTGTAATTGTTGATGTTTTGGAATGGCTCTGATGTGCCAGACAGGGAGTGGGAGCATGAGCCCTTGCTTTCCCTGCACTTCCTTCTGTTTTGTTTCTGCGAAATTCTTCCCAGTTAAATACAGTCTGCCTGGTTAAATTTGGAGGCCTCATGGTTGATATCTCAGAATTATCTTTGAAAACTGTCCATAATCGATCCCACTGGCCATGATCGTATTTTTTTTTTCTGCTTAATTAGTATGTGTAGCATCTCTGTGATGTCCTGAGGGAACTCCCATGCTGATCTCCCTGTCCCTCCTCAAGCCCTTTCTCCTCGGTTGGGGAGGGGTGAAATGGAAGATTTGATTTGAGGTGGAGTCATCTATTGCAGAGGGGAGGTGGGGAGCTAGGGAGATGCCACATCACCACCTTCTGGTTCGTGTGACCCTGCATCATTCTGCCTCCATCAGGGTTACTGGGGCTAAGATTGGTTCCTCACCCTCTCTGTTCTGAGTACACTTCTGTCCGGGATGCCAGTGGACCCTCCTGTTCCCTAAACCAGGTTCTACCAGTGCTGCCTTGAGCCCTTGTCTGCATAAACAACACACTCAATCCCCACATTGCTGCTGCTGGGAAGAGAAGTTTATCTTATATTAACTGTGTCATATAAGAATACATAAGAATTGTACTGTTTGGAAGAAATAGAGTTTTCACGTTAGGCTTACTAGTGCATAGAATTTAAAGTGATTGGTACATCTGACAGGTTTGGTAGACACACTGGAAAGTCAGAAGATTTATTAGAGAAACAGAATGTGGCAATGATGTACTTTAATTTGTTTTTAAACATAATCACGGTGTCAGATTGCAGTGGCCCATGCATCTGTGGTTGAGGACTTCTTAGACTCTTTTTTCACTCATGTCTTCTTCTGTTTTAGGAGGCAGCTGTCTCGGCCCTGGCCGCCCTCTGCAATGAATACTACATGAAGGAGTCTGGGGAGGCAGACTTTACCATTGGGAGTAAGTGAGCTGTATGCTGGGCCTATAGCAGGGATCATAGTGTAGACCTGTAGTTAAAATTCCTCATGAAAGCCAGGTTTAGCAGTAGTACATTTCCCTAATGCCCGATGAGCTATTGTAGCTCGTAATCCATGGGGAGGAGCCTGGTTTAAATAGAGAGACTTTGTCCCAAACAAACAAAAACAAAACACAAACATAAAGGAAAAATATCTTAAGGAACCAAGTGGTGGTGGCACACACCTTTAATCCCAGCACTCAGGAAGCAGAGGCAGGCAGATCTCTGTGAGTTCAAGGCCAGCCTGGTCTACAGAGTGAGTTCCAGGACAGCCATGACTGTTTCACAGAGAAACAACAATAACAGCATCAAAAGTCTTAAGGAAACCTTAAAAACCACCTTATACAAATTTTCTTATAGCTCTTATATCACTTTGAAGGTATGTCTGCATCATTGTCCTGGTTCATCCTACACATCTCACTTGTATTTCTGAGGGGCACCGCTAGACACAGGCCACTTGTAAATATTTCTTTCTTTTTAGGGGAACTGATTCCACAGTACCTTGCTGAGCTCCAGAGCCCAGAGGAGATGACCCGCTGTGGCTTCTCCTCAGCCTTGGGTGCCCTCCCGGGTTTTCTTCTCAGGGGCCATCTGCAGCAGGTGAGGTGCCAGCAACACCAAGGGGGCACAGATGGGAAGGGCTGGCAAGTAATCCGCACACCTCTGCTTGGGAATTTGATGCTGGAATTCTCAGCGTTAGCACATGTGGCCATGAAAGCAATGGCGGCTGACTGCTCTTGCAAGGCATACTTGGAGAGCTGTGCTCAGGTTTGTAGGGTAGGAGGCTCTGTCTGAAGAAACTGGCTTCCTGGATGAGAAAATGGTAGCCTCTATGCAGAAGCTAGTGCTGGCATGTGTCTTCTATTCTTGTAACCATCTCAGTTTATTTCCCTAATAATAAAGCCATGTAGTTAAAATTTCTTATGGAAGTTTATGTTCCTTATGTGCCTTGTGTCCCACCTTGTTTGTGGTCATGGTGGAGGTAGGCTGGGTGTGGGTGGAGGCTGCCAGCCCCATGTCTCGGCCTGATGTCCGTGGGCTTCTTTTCTGCCTGTGCCTTAGAAGAATGTGTCATGTATTAGTATTCTGCTTCCTTTCGGGACACTATTACTCTAATTAAGGCAGTGGCAACCTAAACAGAGCCAAGAGGTTCATGCTTTACCCTCTCAGGCTTACCAGGCTCCCTCATCCAGGGCCCTGTGATCTTGAAAGACCAAGAGGTATTTTCTCTGCTGGTCCCACCATTGTAAGCCTTGAGTTGAGAAGCAGTTGAGTTGAGGGACTTGTTCATTTCTTACATCTAGGTTTTTACCCCCGGTGACACACGAGGCACCCTTGACTCCCAGTATTATTTTCTCACACCGTTTCCTCTGCTTTGGTGCGGCCTGTTCTCTCCCCATTGTCCTTCCTTCTCAGCATCTCCTTTATCACCTGTCCTTGTCTAAGACCTGGGCACGCCTCCAGCCTGACTCTGGATGCTTTCCTTTCCTACTCACCTAGTCCGTTAAAGCTCATGCACTTTTTTTCTCTGAGTTGAAACACTCGGCTTGGTCCTACCAACATCCCCTCCCCCAGGTGCTCTTGCTCCGTCTGTCCCTGCTGCCTGCCACACAAGCTGGGAAGCAGTAAGACAATGCACTCCATGTTTGCTTCTATGTATACTGGTTCTCTTTCCTCCTGTGGGATCAGGCGGTTCTGACGATGTGACGAGTAGGTCTTTTACCCTGTACAAAGCCGAGTATAGCTGTTGTAATAACTGAACTCACCCTGGGGTTTATCCACTTGAAATGTGGATAAACATGAAAGATTTTAGAACTGAACTATCAGTTCATGAAGTAATAGCCCTGGGCCTACCAGGTGGCTCAATGAATAAAATCACTTTCCGGCAAGCCTGGTGACCCAAGGTTTGATCCCTAGGATCTGCATAAAGGTAGAGAGAACCAGCTCCACAAAGTTGCCCTCTGCCTTCCACATACAGCATGTGTGATTGTGTACACACACATGTGCGCATGTTCGCTGGTCGGGGGCAGTGGGTAGGAGAAAATCTAAAAGTATAACTGCTCATTTGTTGTTGAGATCTAGAATGTCAGCTATCCCCTGTCCAAGATGGGAACAATAGCGAGGAATCTCCTGTAGGGATGAGGCCAGGTTCATAGCAGTTGCTGGAGTTTGGGTGCAGCAGATGGGAGGCTATGGGATGATCCCTTTTCAAATGTTCTTTCAGAAACTGAGTTAGCCTGTTGTCTTGTGTGTAGGGTAGCTCCTGTGAACTTCCTGGCAAGCCCCCCCCCATGGGTATTGTGTTCTGTGACTCCAGGGCCACATCTCTGTCTGAAGTGTGTTGACAGCCACATCTGGTGGTACACACAGCACTTAGAATAGTGAGACGGGAGGGTTCGCAAGCTCAAGGCCAGGCGGGGCTACTCACTGAGACTGTCTAAAAAACATGTTTACTTTGTAGCTGATACTTATTCTGGGGAGTTTTCTGCCCTCAGGTTCTCACAGGTCTGAGAGCAGTCACCCGTACTTCTCCCAAGGATGTGAGCTTTGCTGAGGCCAGGAGAGATGGTTTGAAGGCAATCTCAAGGTGAGCCCTGGCCTGGCAGGTGGGCACCAACAGGCACCACAAGGATTACCTGTCATGCTAGCTAGCAGAGAGCAGAAATGTATAGAACTGTTTTGTTACTGCTTTCTAATTGTCAGGGAACATTTGCGTCTTTATTTGAAAACCACCTCAGAAACCGAGGAACAGCGGTTTGAGGCCAGCCATGGCAACATTGAAGCCTTAAACCACGCACACACAAACCAAAGCATCGTGCTGGCTTTGGGAATAGCCAAGGGTTAGAGTGCTTGTTTACATGTACAAGGCCATGGGTTCTATACCCAATACTGCTAAATAAATGAACAAAATGGATAAAGAATCGGGGATCGTGCCTCAGCTTGAGGCTGACAAAGGGAGCAATGCCTGAACCCTGTGTCTTAGTGGCTTCTGTCTGCAGATGCAGTGTGAGGGCCACATCTGCCTTCTCTGGCTCCTGTGGTTCTGCAAGCCCATTCAGTCCTTTCTTCTCAAAGCAGCATTATTGTTTTTATTAGGATGGAAGAGAGAAAGAGCCAGCTACCTTGTAGATTGTAGGGCAGTGAAGGTGACTTCACAGTGAGCACCATTCTGTATCTGCAGTGGGAACGGTGCCCGGGGCCCCGAAGTCTGCCTGGGGCTCGTGTGCCTTGCCAAGTGTTCCCTGCAGCAAGACACTCCAGGCCATCATAATGTGAAGGATGAACTCACAGATATGCATATTTTAATTTCAGAATTTGCCAGACGATTGGCGTGAAAGCAGAGGGACCTCCAGATGAAGTCATGTGCAGAGAGAACATTTCTGAGGTTTACAACGCATTGCTGGACTGCATGAACGATTATACCACAGACAGCAGAGGAGATGTGGGAGCCTGGTAAGGACAGTGTTTGTACTGTGACTTCTCTGAGATAGGGGAGGACACGGCATCCCAAGGTACCCAGGATTGGAACAACAGGCATTAAGTCATGCTAGAAACACTCATACGAACAGTCTGCACTGATGTCTCAGGTGAGCAGCAGTGAGCTTGTGCTTTTCTCTTCTGCTCAGGCAACCATGGTCCTTTAGTCTGCACGACCGTCTTCCCTTTCTCCTCCTGCAGCAGAAACACCTTGTGAGGGAGAGAACAAGGTGCTGCTGCTGCTGCTGCTGCTGCTGTCTGAGTCAGCAGCTCTGCCGGGTGCCTCATACCCCCTCATACCTCCTGCTGGCTTTAGGCAATGCTGGTAAAGAGTTCAGAAGGAGCTCGTAAAAGAAGCTGTCTTGATTGGGATCAGAACATGGAGAAAACATGTTACCCTTACATAGGATGTTTCAGGCATTACTTTCTATCTTGTTCTTCTTGCCTCTTCATTTTCCCCTCATTCTGGGTGCCCGGCTAGTTCTTTCTTCTTCCATTCTACTTCCTAGCTGCTTACCCCACTTTACGGATCATTTTGGAGATTCTCCCTGTCCTTGTGTTCCAGAAACTCGAGCACCTGCCACATACCAAACAGATCCTGAAGGTTTCTTCATTTTGTACAGTTTGTTGTTGCTGCTGCTCTTCTTTGGCTGTTTAAATGCTGTACAGTCTGCTTTGCTACTGATTCTCCCTTTATTTCTCTACTATTAAGACCATCTAATACTTTTAATTTCATGTTAGTTACATTGATCATTAATTTGTGTCTGCACTGGGTCTTTGCAGTTTCTGTGTGCTGGCATTTCCTATATGCTCCTTCCTCTTCCTAGGACAGCTCCCTTCAGGTCCGTCAGCCGTCACGGACTGAGCTGTCTGAACGTATCCGTGTAGACACGGGAAGGCCTTTCCTGTGCTGACGTCAGTCTCATCAGAGCCTGGAGAATGGAGGCTTTGAGGGACCCCGTGGCCGTTTCCCACATTGCCAAGGTCTCCCCTGGCACAGCTGAAGTGTACAAGGCTGCTTTTCTGTAGTGTCTCTTAGCGAGATGTCCATGAGAAATGGCTCCTTTGGTCTGACCCCAAGGGTTCCTCATTGACTGTGGCCATCTTGTTTTGCCAGAGATTTCTTGAGCCTGGTTGTCTTTCTCCTTGAGGAGGATCTGTCTTCTCAGTTGTGGCATGTCATGTGGGTTGGAGTGCCCTGGGCATGTTCTGTTGTCCAGACCCTTCCAGAATGTACTGCATGTTAGATAGCAGACAGTGGCCTAAGCTGGCATTGTGAACCTAGCCCACATGGAGCTGGTGACTTGGTTCTATGATAAATATTGTCAGGTCCTAGGCTTCTTCTCTGAGGCCCCTAGACTCCCAAAAGACTTAGTTCACCTGGATTCCTTCTTGAAGTCCAAGACAGAAAAATGGTGCGCACTGTGTGTCTTTTCCATGGAAGATGTGAACAGTCATCTATTTACCCAGTGTAAGGCACTGAAGACAGATCAAGGAGCAATCCCACCCAAGTTGAGCTTAGTGACCCAGTCGGTCTCCTGAAGTAGGAGTTACTTTTACACACGGGCGACTGAAAGGCACTCCCTAGCAGGGGTGACAGCTCACAGCAGTCTCTGGAGACTTCTGCTCTGCTCTACTTGTGCATCTCACCAGCTGAAGAGTTTCCTCTCCCCAGCAGTTGTTCCTGCTTTTATAACTGACTCTATCTAGGCTGAGCAGGTTATACATCCAAAGAGAATAGGTTCCCAAAAAGCCAGTACATGCAGTAGGGATAAATCCTGGTGCTACTGCCAGTGGCCCCTCAGTCTGCCCCAGCCATGCAACTGTCAGCCACAATCAGAGGGACTAATTTGGTCCTATGCTTGTTCCTTCCCAGTCCTACTGGAGTTGGTGAGCTCCCATTAGCTCAGGCAGACTGTTTCAGTGGGTGTCCCCATCGTGGTCTTGACGTCTTTGCTCATCTTCTCATTTCTCCCACTCTTCAACTGGACTTTGGTTGCTCAGTCCAGTGCTCCAATGCGGGTCTCTGCCTCTGTTTCCATCAGACAAGACTGCCTGACAAAATTGGGAGCATGGGGATGAGGGGAGAAGGGAATTATAAGGGGAAAAGGGGAGGGGTGAGGAGAACTTGAGGGAATGGGATAGTCGAGAAGAAGGAAGGACAGAGATGAGAACAAGGAAAGAAATATCTTGATTGAGGAAGCCTTTATAGGGTCAGCAAGAAACCTGGCTCTAGAGAAATTTCCAGGAATCCACAAGAATGACCCCAGCTAAGACTCTAATCAGTAGAGGAGAGGGGGCCCGATCTTGACTTGCCCTGTAGTCAGACTGATGAATATCTTAAATATCACCATAGAACCTTCATCCAGCAACTGATGGAAGCAGACATTCTTTTTACATTTTTTTCTTTTATTACATCATTTCTCCCCTTTCCTTCCTCTCTCCAAACTCCCATATACCCCGCTCTTTGCTCTTTCAAATTCATGGCTTCCTTTTTTCATTGATTGTTACAGTTATGCACTCTGTGTGTGTGTGTGTGTGTGTGCGTGTGTGTGTGTGTGTGTGTGTATTTCTCCCACTCTCCGAATTCCTTAGTAGTTCTTCATGTAGAGCTGAGGCTTTGCCCACCTTATTCCGTGTTTGTTGTCAGAGATAGCTCATTCGTTCCTGGCTGCTTAGACCCAAAATAATCACTCAGAAACTATAATATTTGCAATACTGTTTTGCCAACAGCTTACATGTATTGCTAGCTAGCTCATATATCCTCAACTAACCCATCTCCATGAATCTATGCATCACCACGAGGTCGTGACCTACCAGCAAAGTTTGGGCGGGCTCCAGCAGAGGTGTCTGTCTCCTGTGGTGGCTACATGGCTTCCCCCTGACTCTGCCTACTCTCTCTCTCTATATATATATATCTCTTCCAGCCTGGCTATATGCTGTTAAACCATTGGCCAAAAGAAGCTTCTTTATTAACCAATAAAAGCAACATCACATGTTACCACGTCTGTTGTCTTTGTTCAGCTCAGCTTTAGGCAGTAATGTTGGTGACACTTTATTGGTTTGCCTTCCTCTGGTTCTCAGTCTTTCTGCCTCCTCTTCCACAGTGATCTCTGCAGCTTAGCTATATTGTGGATATGTGAGTTGGGGCTGGGGCTCCACAGCTCTCTGCCTTTTGATTGGTTGTGGCTTTCTGTAAAGGTCTCTGACCATTGCAAAGAGAAGTTTCCCTGATGAGGGTGGGGACTACACTTTTCTGTGGGTACAGGGACAAATGCTTAGACTGCAGTTAGGGATTATGCTGGGTTAGCATAGTGGTGGCGGTTGTAGGTTCTTCTCCCAAGAGCCATGACTTCACAAGTCCTGAAGTTGACTGGGTTTCTAGTATAAGGTGTGATTTCCCTCTTACTGAACAGGTCTTAGGTCAACTTAGAGAACAATTAGTTTCCCACACAGGAGGATAAAATAACAATAAGGAGTCTGAAGAAGTCATGAAATTATACAAAAACACTTATAGTACATGCAAGCTGGTGTATAAACACATATGTGTATTTTAAATAAAGTTTTCTCATCCGGGCTGACAGTGCTCCCTCTAAGAGAGCCAAAGACCGTCTAATAAAAATCCTAACAGCTCATGAGAAGCCCTCTTTTGGGTTGGTCAGGATTGTCCAAGAGAGTCCAAGCCTAAAACACTGCAGGCTGTTACGAGTACCCTTGGTTGTCTCCCAGAGGTAGAAGGTAAGTCCCTATTGCTAAAGACAGCATGCATTTCAGACACAGGGCTCAGAGGCCGCTGAGCTGGACCTGACCTGAGGCCTCTCCCTGAGGACCAGCTTTCGTGGTACCGGGAGGCTCAACGTAGACTTCCATAGGAGGGAACCCCATGGGCACATAGTGACACATACACCTTGACTCTTTGTTTTTTCTTTTCTAATTGATCAGTGTTGAGAACTTTCTCAGAGATTCCAATTGTTTTTGAAATTCCGCTTTTTTCATTTACTTCTCTCTATTTTCTTCATAATTTTCAGATACAATTATTATAAAGACTGTACACTTGGTCAGTCTCTTTTTGCTCCTGTTATTTTGGCATTTGTTAGGTTTTATTCACTTTCTTAACTGGATTTTCTATGTTGTGGTTAAATTGGAGGGCTATATAGTTTTCTTTTAGCAGGTAGTGATAATGGCCAGCCAAATACACTGAAATCCACTATGTTTTCAGGTCACAGAGTGGAAGAAAGGGCTTCACAGAGAGAGGTGGCCAAGTCTGGACAGACCTGGCCGTATGGACTGGGCTCCGTGACAATGGTTTCATGCAATTGCCCTTGCTCCCAGGAGCTTATCTGGGGTGTGATTTTTTTTTTTTTCCTTACCCAGGGGCTCTGCCAATGGGCCTCTGAGGCTCAGGACTCAGTTCTTTCTCCTGTTCATGCACTTGGCAAGCACAGCTTGTCCTTTTGCTGGTTTCTGCTGTATTGTTGGAGCCTCACCCTGTGCATCACAGCATCAGAGATGGCAGGCGCCATGAAAGAAATGTACAGATCACCCCACGATATGTCTGCGTCTGCTTTCTAACTGTGTGCCTAGACCTAGGCACTTTCCAGACTTCCCTATGTCCCCTGGCATACTTCACAGACATGCCCCTGTGTCCCATGGTACTTTCTGCAAGTCTCTCCCATCCCTGGCACTCTTGGCAGATGTACCCCATTTCACCCCAGCATGCCCTGCAGATTTTCTCTATGTCCCGTGGCATCCATTGTGGATGTGCACCCGTGTCCCTGTAGCTCACTGCATCCCCAGGCTCACTTTGTGTCCAGTGACCCTCACCTGACTTTGCACAGTCCCCTGGAACCCTGGCCTGCACTGCTGTCTGCGAGCCCCCCTCAGAAGGGCCCGTGGGGCCTCAGTGGGAACCTGGTACAAGCCCCATAGAGGGTTTGATTGAGCAGAGATGACCCCAAGTCTGAGGGTTTGTATCTTCCCTTTCCAGACTCACTGAATGCACCTGTATCCCAGTTCAAATGGCTACTTTTGCTCTGGAATTAGATCAGTTTTTTTCTTTGATATGAATTAATGATGGACAGCTCTGTTTAGCAAGAAAGAAGGTCCGGAATGGACATGAATATTGGTTACTCTCTGTTTGGTGAGAACAAGAAGTACCAGCCTTGTGCAGAGAGACTACAGGGGCCAGCTTCACACAGGAGGAGGCTGTGGGAAGTAGCTGCTTCGATAGTGTGTGCATGTCTTAGGCCCTGCTGAGACTTGTCCAGTCTGTCTCCAGATGCTAAGACTGAACCCTCTTGCTTGACAGTATGAGAGAGGGCACATCCCTCGTACTCCAGTCAGGGATTTAAGACTGCCAGCTGACGGCATTGGGTTTTTCTGATGGTTCACACTGAAGTGGGATTTCTGTAATCTCTGAAACTCTCCCTGTGTTTGGGCCTTCTGGAACCAAGCTTGTGTGTGGTCACTGGGTGTCTCAAGACTTTTTTCCCCCTCATGGGCGACTTGTAGACTCTGTTCTCACAGGACCCGATGGATGTGTTTGGTGGGACCAGGGCTTGAATCCCTGTCCTGGATTGACCTTCCTCTATCTCCTTATTCACAGGGTCCGGGAAGCTGCCATGACAAGCCTCATGGACTTGATACTTCTGCTGGTGCGGACAGAGCCGCAGCTGATTGAGGCCCACGTGTGAGTATCCGAGGATAGCTGTGGCTGCCCTGGTGTCCATCCCTTCTCAGAGTAGTTCTCCGACCTCTGTCCTGACCCTCCACAGTTTGTGAGCCATGGCCAGGACCTCCTTTGACCTGGCCTGTTTGGCAGCCAGCTTCAGAGGGTGAGACCGTGGTAGTCTCTAAACTCAGGGTTCTGTAGCTGAGGTTCCTGCCAGGAGGGGCCACTATCATTTGATCCAGCCCCGGTGATTCTGCTGAGGCCCAGCGTCCTACTCTTCCTTTCCAACCAGGCTTCTCTCCTTCTGTCACTGACCTGCAGTACTGTTGGTTTTCACACCTCCATCCCACGAGTTCATCAGCATTCACATGTGCTCGTTATGTGCTCCTGAGATGCTGGCACATGTGCTCGTTATGTGCTCCTGAGATGCTGGGGCGCAGGGTGCGGTCCTGCCATCCTGTGTGGGTTAGGGTTTTTGTTTGTTGTTGTCGACTTGGGACAAGCTAGAATTATTTGGAAAGAGGGACTCAATACATCCGTAAGATTGGCCTATAGGCATTTTCCTGGTTAATGATTTATATGGTAGGTCCCAGGTCAGTGTAGGCAGCACCACTCCTAGGACAGCAGACCTGAGTTGTTTGTTTGTGTTTTTGTTTTTCGAGACAAGGTTTCTCTGTAGCTTTGAAGCCTGTCCTGGAACTAGCGCTTGTAGACCTGGCTGGCCTCGAACTCACAGAGACCCGCCTGCCTCCCAAGTGCTGGGATTAAAGGTGTGCGCCACTACCTTCTGGCTTTTTTTGTTGTGGTTTTCTGTTTTGTTGTTGTTGTTGACCTGAGTTATGTAAGAAAGGCCGAGCAAGGCATGCAAGCCAGTAAGCAGCATTCCTCCGTGACTTCTGCCCTTGTTCTGCCTCCGCCCTCTAGTTCTTGTCCTGACTTCCTTTAGTGATGGAGTATAACCTGAGAGTACAAGTGGAAATAAACCCTCTTCTACCCAGGTTGCTTTTGGTCATGGTGTTTTATCACAGCAATAAAATCCCTAACTAAGACACGTGTCCTGTTTGCAGCTGTGAGCGCGTCATGTGTTGCGTTGCCCAGCAGGCAAGCGAGAAGATTGATCGGTTCCGTGCCCACGCCGCCCAGGTGTTCCTGACTCTGTTGCACTTCGACAGCCCCCCCATTCCCCATGTTCCCCACCGCAGAGAACTGGAAAGCCTGTTCCCCAGGTACTGTCAGGTACGGATCCCCTTTGCAGCCCAGCCCCTCCAAGCGTGGTCTTGAGGAAGCCACTTTCTTTCAGGTCTGACATGGCCTCTGTGAACTGGAATGCACCTTCCCAGGCCTTCCCTCTCATCACCCAGCTCTTGGAACTGCCCACCTACAGATACCATGTCCTGTTGGGGCTGGCCGTGTCTGTTGGTGGTTTGACAGCGTCTACGGTAAGGAGGCATCTGGCTGTGCAGGACAAGGGGATCCAGGGGACTCCTTCCAGAGGGTTCTGTCCTTAGATGTGTGCACTGCACATGCTCAGTCATAATAGCCCAGCACCTGGAAGGCCCTCGTGTCTTTGTAGTTTGCAGTTGTTTCTGTCCAGTACTAGGCATTTACTGTCATTGACGTAGCCTTGGGGGGAACCAAGAGAAAAGCTAGCCATGCTGTGCCTCAGGACTACACATCCGGTTTTAGGTCAGGTATTCTACACAGAGCCTCTTTGAGTACATGAAGAGGATTCAGAAGGATGCTCAACTCCTGGAGAGCTTCAGTGGGACCCTCCTGAAGGTCTTTGAGGACAACCTCCTGAATGACAGGTGAGGGGTACCTTGAGGCCGGGAGGTCATGGTGCCCATGCCCCATCCTATTTCCACAGAGCCCAGGTTTCCCTGGGACACAGGGAAACAGTTAGTAGGTGAGGAGCAGGGTACTGCAAACTGTCAGGCTCCCTTCAGTAACTTCAGTGAACCCCAGCATTCATCTCTGGGCAGGAAAATGAGCTTTTCTGTGTGCATGTGGAGATGCCAGATAGCATGTGAAGTGGGATGAGGTTCTAGTGTGTAGGAATATTCCCTGACTTTTCTTGTCTGTAATAACCTCATCGAGAATATGAGAAACCCGAAAGGCAACCCATGAAGTATGTGGGGTGGTTCCTGTGGGTATGCGAAGCCTTCTTGTTCCTCCTGCCCCAGAGCTCTCCCAGCCGTCCACTCTGGCAATCACTGACCTGCTGTCACCGAAGTTGAGGTGGCCTTTTGTGGCATTCCACTTAAACAGGCAGGCAGTGTCACCACCCCGTCCATCCGTCTGTCTGTCTGTCCGTCCATCTGCCCGTCTGAGCTGACTCATTCGTTTGGGCATTTCATGTTCCAGGCCTTGCAGGCAGCTGCAGTGGACATGCAGAACTGGATCTCTGTGGATGCACACTCCCTTTTCTTGGGTACACACTGTATGATGGGCTGCGGGGCCATGTTGATTGTTGACTTCTCTAAAGCTGCTGGCCCCGTCTGTTCCGTGTCTCACCAGCATTAGTGTGGTCAGTCTCTTGGGTGGCTATTCTGTTAGACACTCAGTCGCCCTCCTAGAGTCTGAGATGTGCGTTCCCTGACACAGCTGTTTAGTTAGGTTTTCCTCCTCACTGGTTTTGATGCCTTCACTGGACTGGGCAAGTCCTTGTTTGGTCTGTAGTTTGAAGGACCCGGCTCTCACCTGCCTTGTGCTTCAGTGAGCTTGTGTTGTTGCTGAGAAATCTTTGCCTAATTTGGAGGTCCTAGAGAGCTCCTCTCTTCCAGAAGTTTCAGCTTTAGCTTCTATCTTTAGCCCTATGGTTTGTTTTGAGATAGTTTTGTGTGTGCTCAGTTTAATTATGCAAATGACTGTCCAGTTGTCTAGCTGTCCAGCACAGTCTGCTGGACTGCTCACTGTTCTGGCTTTGCACCTTGTCAAAACCATCCAGTGTACAGGTGATGCTGGACTTTACCAGGCCATCTATATATCTTTACGTCAGGAACTCTGTTCTTACCTTTGCTTTAGGTAATTCCTGAAAGAAGCCACGTTGGCTCCTGTTTTATTCTTACTTCCCATAGTCATTCTGGCATTCTTGTAATAATTATAATACTGGTGTGTCTTTCTTAAGAATTTGACAAGGCTGTCTTGAGTCTAGTCTCATCTAGGAAGAGCCATCATAGTGTTAAGGGTTTGTGTGTTTTTGGTTTTTTTTAAACTTGTCAGTGGCATTTGCGTGTCCCTCACATGGGTGGCTCATAGTTCTTGGGTGCTTGTGTGGGTCTCATGTTTGCTTATCTTGTCCTCTCAGGGTGTCTGTATCACTGCTGAAAATGCTGGACCAGCTGCTGTCTAATGGGTGTTTCGACATCTTTACTGCTGAGGAGAAGTAAGTATCTGCTTGCTTAGTGCTCCCTATCTGGTGAAACCTAGTTGCCAAAATTTAAAAAAAAAATTGTATTTATTGTTTTGGTACCTTGCTGTGTTGCTCAGGCTAGCTTCAAACTCATGATCCTGTCTCCTAGTCTTCTGTGTGCTGGAATCACTGAGTAGCTGTTATTTTAAAGAAAGAACACTTGGGTTAGGATCTCAGAACCCAGAAGATGATAATCTTCAAACTCTGGCAGCAGGCAGCAGGATGGGGTCAAGTAGGGCCCTGTTACCCAGGTAGGAAGGTGGACTCGGACAGGTGAGGTAGTCCACTTACTAGGGCTGACAGGCAGAGAGGTCTGGAAGTTGATGGAACCTGAGGTATGATAAGACTAGATGGAAACAGAACAGTATGCGGGCTGTGTTATGTGCCCATCACAGCTGGACAGAGGCTATGGGACACAGGGCATGAATCAGCTGCTTCCTGCTGTCTGTGGTTCCTCAGCCTCTTGTCCACAGGAGCAGACAGACCAGCGGCATGATGTCTCTCATTAAGCCCTGGAACCACGTAGGTGCCAGGCTGCCTTCCTGAGTGGATACTTTTGTGCTCATTTTTGCCTGGTGGTCTTCACCAAATGAAAGATAAGTTACTTAGAAACTGCCTGGAGGCTTTGGATTTTCCTTGTAAGCTAACTGGTGGTGGGTTCAAATCTACTGGGTCTCAACTGCTCTCCTTCTGAGTCTTCGCTCACTGCTATTTCCTTTCTATTTTCTGCATCACTGAGCAGATCTGTGCTGTTTTTTTCCTGTTTATTTCTGCCTCCTGCCTTGGGCAGTGTTCTTGTACCATCACAGAGGCACATTCAGGTGAACCCCAAGGCTAGGAGCCCCTTTGTTATTGGTGCTCTGCCCTGAGATCCTGCATCACACGCCCAGGGCTGCTGCAGACCAGCTTATTTTGCTGGAAGTCTCTGGTGTCTTCAGGTTTAACTGTCTGCAGGGAAGTTGGATGCCCAGGACGGCCTCTAACCCGACACCACAGGACTTCCCTCTTGTCGGGGTGCAGCACTGATTTCCTAAACCTGATGCTGAATAGCACACAGCCTGGCTGTGACACTCTTTTCCACATTGCTGGATTCATCTTGGGAAATAGTCTAAGGATTTGGCATATATTTTTCTGGCTTAAAATTTTCAAAATAAGACAGTAGGAAAATATAATATAGGTGTTTTTGTTTCTCTGTTTTTGTTAGTTTTTGTTTCATGGATTTTGAAGTTGCATTTTTGTCACACACGAATGTAGGGCTGACTCTCCTCAAATGGAGTCTTTGTTTTGGAGTGCTTTTGCTTACATTGTACCTTGGATTGTTTTGTTTTTTGCTTTGGATTGTAGTTTTTGTTTTCATTACTTTTATATATTTGTTTCTTGTATGTCAGTTGCTAACAATATATGTAGTTTTATGAAAATTCAATCTGCCAATCTGACCTTTTAACTGGGTTCATAAATCTATTCCATTTAATCTTACTAGCTTTTTATTAAAGTAGTTTCCTGTTCCATGTTTCTCCTCTATCTGATTGGCAGACTCACACCCAGCCCCCAGTTCCATTTTCTTCTTTTGGGAATTCTCTGTGCTCTGGGAGAGTCTTGGTACTATCTCCGCTCACTGTTTGTGCAGTCAATGCTGGAATGAGAAATAAGAACTAAAAGGAGGATGGGACTGCTCCTAGGTGTGGTGGAGGAGGAGTTTACTGTAGACAGAAAGCACAGCCAGAACATGACCCTGAGCCAGGCAGTGTGAGGAGACTGGGCAGGGGCAGAGGGGAGAGAGCCAGGGGACCAAGAGGCCAGGAGGGTAAGGGGTAGAAAGGATAAAAAGGGTTTGTGTAGCTGAAATGGTTGGATTGTATAGGGACAGGCAACTTGGAAAGGGCAGCCCAGCCCCTGGGCTACAGAAATTTAGGGTAGCAGGTGGGGTTTGCCAGCCAATACCCTGTAACAGGGAAGGACTGAGGGATGGAGGGAGAACCTGGTGACCAAGTCCACTTTGGTATGTTAAATAGACACCCGAGTTAGCCATTTGTCTGGGGTTTGAGATCTGACAGTGTTCTTCTGAATTGCCTACGTTTTTGTTACTTTCTCATTTCTGCATCTTGCGGACACACATCCTCTCCCTCGCATAGAGAACAGCTCACTGTGAGGTTGGCCGGTGATGGTATTTGTTGGGTTCATCAAAACACCTAGAATTATAGGCAGTTTATCTACACCACCCAAGTGATAAGTCTCCCAACCACAAGACATTTCATTTGCTCCTGCTGCCTGCTGTATTGTAGTTGGAGAATGCTCATTCGTTTCTGGCTGCCCAGACCCGAAGTAATCACACAGAAACTATATTAATTGCAGTAATGTTTGACCAATAGCTTAAGTGTATTGCTATCTAGCTCTTGTGTCTTAAATTAACCCATTTCTATTATTTTTTTTATCTTATCACAAGGCTCATGGTTTACCGGCAAGGTTCCCGGACATCTGTCTCCTTCGGCAGCAGCTACATGGCATCCCACTGACTCTGCCTTCTTTCTCCCAGCATTCAGTTTAGTTTGCTCACCTAGTTCTATTCTGCCCTGTCATAGGCCCAAGCAGCTTCTTTATTAACCAATAAAAGCAACACATATGCAGAAGGACTTCCCACATCATCTCCCCTTTTCTCTCTAAATAGTTTACTATGTTAACTTTAACATAGTAAAATTACATATGCAGAATAGTCATCAAGCAAGAATTATAGTTACAATGTTTATATCTACTTTATCTTTTATCATAACTAAGGAAAACTATAACTATCTATTCTTCAACTCCATTAAAGATGCCAGAAGGATATAATATTACCTAAGTTAACAGGAAGTGCATTGTAAGCAACTTCCAAAACTCTAGAATTGACAGAGACATCTCACTGCCTGGACAGTCACCCAAAGTTCTTATGTAATATTGAGGCATCCATCTTCAGCAAACTTTTCTAGGCACTCAGTTTTCATGGCTGTCAAGAGATGGCTGCAGCCACACCAGGAGGGTTGGGAAGTAGGTCCATGCCTCTGCCTCTTTTGGGCGTACCCTGATCCTAGGTGCTCTGAATGTTGGTGGTCAGGAGGTCGTTCTGTGTGCTGCTTTTACTGGTTAATGAATAAAGAAACTGGCTTGGCCTACAGCAAGGTAGCACTTAGTTGGGCGGGGAAAACTAAGCTGAATGCTGGGAGAAAGGTGACATCAGAGAAAAGCCATGGAGCCGCCAGAGACAGACATCGAACTTTACCAGTAAGCCACTGCCACGTGGCAATACAGATTAATGGAGATGGGTTAACATGTGAGAATTAGCTAATAAGAAGCTAGAGCTAATGGGCCAAGCAGTATTTAATAGTTTCTGTGTGGTTATTTTGGGAGTCTGGGCAGCCGGGAAACAGGCCTCCATACTACATCGAGGCTTACTACCCTGAAGACTGGCAGCGTATGAGCATCAGGCTAGTGTCACATTGAGGATATATGTTGGGGTTTGAGTAGTAACTGGCTATTGATCAAGTCAGGCCTGAGCGGGCACTGGACTGTGGCTGATCCATGGGCATGACGCCAACAGATGTAAGCACGAGGGAGCCATAGCAGCCGAAAAACATTATGGCCTGTGTGTCTCTTTCCACAACAGAAATCTTTTAGAATACCAAGTGTGGCCAGGAAGCCATGTCACCCCAGACAGGCAGAGCCGTGATGTTCATTAGACACCAACCACGGGAGGCTCATGCCTGGTGGATTAGCTCAGGAGTCTTTCAGGAATACTGGAGGTGACTAAGTTCAGTGTAGACCTGAATGGGACCGTTGGGACCACAGTGTCTGTGGTGTGTGGGACCTTTAAGTCTAGAAGAACAGTAGAATTGCATGAGTCCTAGAGGAAGACTAGCTGAGGATGTAGTTTAGAGAGCTAGTCAGGGAAGGACTGAGAGCTGGATCAAAGTCCCAGGGTACAGCAGCATTCTCTTCATCCCAGGGTTGACCTGGGAATTAACTGTCATGGACTACCCTGGTGTGGTGGCCCAGTGTTAAGGTCATTGGGGATGACTGGGACTCCTCATATGGCTTCTTTCCATGAATAGCACTTGCTGGTAGGGTTTGCTCTGTTGGGAGGGTAACTTGGATACGGTCATACCATAACTGTGCCAGGCCTGCCCGCCCAGGTGTTGAATACCATGGGTGAGCTGGGTGATGGCATATCTTACCGGTAATGAGATAGGATAGCTGTTCTTTGCTGTGTGTGTTGGAAATCAAAGAAAGTGGTTGATGCCACATGGCACATCATCTGTTGAGCAAGCCGACCTTCAGGTTAGTTGGTGCCAGCACAGCATGAACCATATTGCTCTGTATTCCTATGAAAGACCTTCTTACAATACTGTTTTCCCCTTCAAGCCACCCCTTTTGTGTGAAGTTGCTCACACTTTGTAAGGAAGAAATCAGGAAGTCCAAAGACGTCCAGAAGCTTCAGTCAAGCATTGCAGTGTGAGTTTTAAGTGTTCCTGGGTGGAGACGGAGGGACTTGGTGGGAGATACAATTTTGATCACAAAGCTGTTTAAAAGATGGACTGCTGGAGTGTTCACTGAGGAAGGGAAAGGTCAGACGACTACTATCTTGGAGGAGGGTCAACCTGACAGGAGAGCTCCATCTCTCACCTTACGTATATGCCCAAGGAATGTGAACACAACTACACCAGTTCAGGCATCTTGGCACATGGGCAAGTACACACTGGCAGAGAACACTGGTCATGTGTAGGCAATCTGATAAATACACACAGGCACATGCTAACACGAAGAGTGCACACTTGGATACATGACTGTATACCACATGGAAGCACATTAGCACTACACACACTTGTGTATATAGGTACACACACATTAGCACATGGCTCAATGTTTATGCTGTGTACTTGTTGGGTCTCACATGTGTCTTGGGTCCTCGGGTAACGAGTGTGGGCTTTCTGCAGGCTCTGTGGGATGGTGCAGTTCAATGGTGATGTCCGACAGAAGGTCCTTCTGCAGCTGTTCATCCTCCTTGGCCACCCTTTCCCTGTGGTGAGTGCCCACCCCACCTCAAGACCATCTAAAGGTCCGTGCTTATGTATGGCCTTTAAAGACAAGTGTGTGTTGGTGTGACTTTGAAGTAGGTTTGGAAGTAAACACAGGGTGAGATGGTTTCCTGGCGCGGGCAGCCCTGCAGCCATGGTCCACAGCTTAGCCTCTTTGTCAGAAAGGCACTTTACTGGGGTAGACAAGATCATCTGAACAGTTTGTCACAGGACACTAGCAAGAGGGACGGACTCCCAGGTAGGAGACCCTTCTGACAGAGGCTGCAGATCTTCCTTCTGCTGCATGTCTGGGCTGTGGCCAAATTCTTTTCCCTCCTTTCACGAACCTTCGTAAGACCCCTTGGGCTCCCTAGGTGGTGATGGTTTTCCTCCTGTTGACCTGCTGTTCTTGTCCCAGATCCGGAAGGCCACAGCAAGCCAGCTGTACGAGATGGTGCTCACCTATAGTGACTTGGTAGATGCAGACGTGCTTGATGAGGTCATGTCTGTGCTCAGTGACACAGTCTGGTAAGTAGGGCCTGCCTGGGCTGGTGCCACTTTTCTCCGGTCCCCCTAGCTTCTGATGGAAAGAGGGGAGACATTTCTAACTCTCAACAGCTTCACAAAAGGCTGAGGACAGACACATCCTGGGAGCTTCAGGAAAATGTTTAACGCTTACCTGTTTTTCTCCTCTTGTAAGCAAGGTGGGCAGGGTGGCTCAGAAGCTGGTGTTTTTCAGTAACTCGAATACAGGGCCATCAGGATGCCACCAAGTGGGTGTCAGTTAGCAACTTTTATTTTCCTACTCCAAGGGCCATGTGATCTTTCCTGTTTTAATGGCCTTAGAGACTTGTCTTCAAAGTCAAGAAGTGGAGAGGAGATGGTGGGGTGTACAGCCTGTGGGTGTGATTATCAGATGCTCCAGCCTGAGCCTGGAAGCAGTTACCTTATATGACCTGTGATCCAGGCATGTGCGCACAGGTGCACTTTAAGCTGGCTTGTCCCCTGTGCTAGATATACTATTTGGGAGGCACAGCCAGGTGTAGCCCAAGTTGCTGCTACTGTGGACACTGTCCAGTCAGACTGATGGAGAGGGATATTGCTGACCTCAAATGCTGGCAGGTCTGTTGGGGTAGCGAGTGAGGGTTTGTGATGTATTCATGCATGCTCCCCAGAACAGCGATCTCCATAGGAGCTCATGCTAGGATGTGCCTAGGTGAGAGCTGTGGGGGCCTGGAAGGCCAGAAGGCATTTCAAGGTCTTTGCTGTCAGTAGAAACTTAACTCAGTGCCTTCTGAGGAGACAATGGGCATTGCTTCCAACTTCCTAAAACACTCATCTTGAGAAAAGACAGCAGGGAGGGAGAACTGTGTATGCATGTGTCAGGGCTTGCATATGTGAGTGCAGTTGCCTGCCGAGGCCAAAAAAAGATGTCCAAATCCCCCTGGAGCCGGGGTTACAGGTGGTTGTGAGTTGCCCTTCATGGGTGTTAGGAACTCTGAAGAACCTGACACCTGGTTTACAGAGGATTATTTTTACTCTTACACACAAAACCTCCTTTGTACTTTTCTATTCCAAAGTCAGCAACTGAGTTCTAATGAAGCCTCTTAGCCTCAGGTCACATCTCTTCTGTATGTTCCTAGAACAGGGTATGGGCCCTGGTATCTACTCTGGGGGAAGAAGCGGAACCATGTTGGCATAGGGGACACTCAAATGCTTTCCTTCCTAGGGACGCAGAGCTTCCAGTTGTAAGAGGGCAGCGGAATCACCTGTGTGACCTCCTTGGCGTGCCCAGACCCCAGCTGGCTACAAAGGTAACAAGTATTCTGATACATGGGGCCTGTGCTGTCTGCTGTTCTGAGCTCTGGTCTAACTACCACTCCCTGCCTGCATGTACCTCCTATTGGGGGTTCTGTTTCTCTGAGGACACCTGTCCCCTCAGGCTTCCGTGTCTCCCCTGGACTTCTGTCCCGCTGGGTCCTCAGTCCTCTTGACTGCCTGTGCTTGCCCGCTCCACCTATCTTGGCCGTGGATGTTAGCTGTGGCGTAGGCCTTGGACTCCCTGCCCTTATAAAACCCGAGCCTTCGGAAGCCCAGCCTCACGCTGGAGTCCTAAGTGAGTCAGGGACAGAGGAACATTCCAGTCAGCCAGTCCATCTCAACCCTTGGGCTTTTCCTGGCCTGTGGGATACGTCCAGCCCTAGGAGACAGTTCAGGTGTGCCTGATAGAGATGACTTTCCCACAATGCTGCAGGCCCCCATGGCGGGTATGCTGGTACACACAGGCCTTCCGTAGTCTTACTCCATCAGTTACTGACGAAACAGTGTTTGCATTTGTCTGTTGTCCTTTAATTATGTCTGAACTTCGGGGGATGCACTCTGAAGCTGTGTTATTAACTAGGTGTTCCTACTCTGGACATCCCCTTTGCCCCGTGTTAGTGGTGACACCTGGTTAGCTTGTCTCCTGTACAGTACAGTCAAAATTATGCCTTTCCGTCATTTAATGTTTCATGCATTCATGTTTACTCTAATTACTGACAAGTTTATGTTCACAGTCTCTGTTTCCTATTTGACCTTCCTGTTTATGATTTCTTTTTCCCTTATCTGGATTTCATTTCCCATCCTGTTAACTTGTTCACTGTTCTGTCCCTGGTTACCCTGGGGCCAGCACTCTTTCTCTACACACTGCCTCCATTCCTGGCCTTGACCGCTGAACCGGGCTTGCCCTAACCCTGAGGCCTTGGTATTTAGCTGACACAGTCTTTGCTGGTCAGCTACTGTTTTTCCTGTTTTGTTTGCTTTGATGATCTGGCTTTAAACCCTGAGCTCCTGTTACCTCGTCACGCTGGGAAGGATTTTGTTCTTTCCCTCTCTTGTGTGTGCTATGCTAGGTTTGTGTGCCTGAGTCCCACCCCGGGCCTCCCCCTTGAGAAGAGCCACAGTGTAGTCTCAGTCTCCTATGTGGAGAGCGAACTTGAGTTTTCAACTATGCTCTTTCCATTGCTAGGAAAACTTTGAACATATATGAATGTGAACAATTTAGCAACCTACTCTGTCCACCAACCTGCTGGGATCCTGGGACATCAGAGAGGGTGGGGTGGGGACTAGCCTGACGTTGCTATGTATCTTTACAGTCTGCTCCTGGAAGCTGAGCCACTGCCTGCCTAGCTGGGATGCCCTGCCCTGAGGCTCTACAAGCTTTACCATCATGGAAACTTGGTGCCACACACCTGAGAAAGGGGGCACATGCTGCTAGCTGGACTGGGAGGCCATCCACAGAGAGCAGTAGCTCTTCATGCATGCTGTCCTCTGGTGGCCTGGTCTGCCCGTACTTCTGCTGTCCTAACACCATGTGCTTCCCATTAAATCATGTCCCATACAGCCTGGCCTCTGTCTATCTCTGGGACTTATGTGAAGATCCACCGTGGGTTCCACTCCTGGTGTTCTGCTGGGTTTTAGGCACTGAGTGATTTATGTAGCATGGCAGATGGCTCACACCCTGGTGGAGAGTGTGAAGTGCTGGGCACATGCAGTGTCAGGCAGCTCTCTCCTGCCTCATGCTGAGCCAGCTACGTCACCAGCAGTACTACCATGGTCTGAGCAAGAGATCCTCAGAATCCAGTGTCCCTGTGGGACTATGGGACAGCTCTGGTCCCGAGGCCTGGATCCTTTGCACCTCCTGTCCCAGACCTACATTACCTGTCCTGCTGTGGTAGCCCCATGCCTGCCTCTTTGATCTCTCTATATCCTAGGCCTGGGAGGGCCTGCAGAACGTTGCTCATTAAGCTTTTAGCCTCTGAGGAAGGAGGGAGGGAAGGAGGGAGAGAGAGAGAGAGAGAGAGAACACAAGTACTCTGTGAGCTGAAAAGCAGAAAGAGTAGCTAGAGGCTGTGTGCCCAAGGCTGTGTCCCTGCGTCTAGTAATGAAATTTTGGTGGTAGCAGGGCAAAGTAGATAAAAGGCCACAAGAAACCTAATAAAGCTGGAACTCCACAGAGCTGTGTTCTCAGCACTGGAAGATGGAAAATCTGTCCTCATAGGAAGGAACTCTGGCTCTTGCTGGGTCTTCACTGCGCTGGGTGAAGAGAAACATCCAGGAATGGTGGTGCACACCTTTCATCCCAGCAGAGGCAGGCTGGGATGGCCAGTCTGGTCTGCACTGTGAGTTCCAGGACGACACAGAAAAACCTGTCCCAACAAAAACAGAAACCCTGGGTTGATGATCCATCACCATATAAACGGGGTGTGGTGGTAGGTCCCTAGGATCCTAGCACTTGGAAGGATCATCTCTGAGGAGGCATACGGAGCATTTTAAGCTTGGCTGGGATATAGGAAACCCTATCCCTCCCCACTGCAAAAAAGTTAAGAGGTAGAAATGGTCAGAGATTAGGGTAGGAGCTGGAGAGATAGCTCAGTGGTTAAGAAAGCAGAGTAAGCTTGCAAACAACTTAAGTTCATCCCTAGCATCCATAAAACCATCTGTAACTCCATTTTCAGGGGAGTTCAATACCTTTGGCCTCAGCAGAAACTACACTCACGTGTAATATTTATAATTTTAAAAAAAACCAAAACTTAAAAGACAGATTAGGAACAAAAAACAGAAGAGCTTCTGAGAGAACAGCAGAAGCAAAGGTCCTATATGGATGAGGCCCTTGCTCAAGACAGAATTCTGCAAGGTCAGAAGCTACCCAGGAGGACAGCTGGTAAGTCCATATGTTGTATCCCTGCTTCCCTGCTTCCCCAGACTAGGAATGTTCATGGTTAGACAACCAATCCTTGGGGGTGGGGGTGGGATCTGAGCTGGCACCAGGTCTACTGGGTGGGTAAAATTACCGTTAAGAAGGCAGATGGTAGCACAGTGCTTAGGACATTAGAGTTGAGGAAGACAGATCTGCATTATACTGAAAAATTATTGTCAGCTTGGCTAAATCATGTGTATGGTGTATGTCTTAGTTGGGGTTTACTATTGCTATGAGGAGACATCATGACTATTGCAACTCAAAACATAATTGCAGGGGCTCACAGTTCAGGGATTCAGTCCCTCATGGCAGGGAGCATGGCGGCATGCAGGCAGGCATGGTGCTGGAGAAATAGCTGAGAGTCCTACATCTTGCAGGCAACAGGAAGTTGACTGACTCACTGGGCAGTGTCCCGAGTATATAAAACCTCAAAGGCCATCCCCACAGTGACACTTCCTCAAGAAGGTGTGGCCCAGATTAAAGATAGGACCACCAGCCTCAAGGTCTGGATTAAAGGCCTGAGTCATCCATCCAGCCTCTAACAAGATCACACTTCCTACAACAGGGCCACACTTCGTAATAGTGCCACTCCCTGTGAGCTTCTGGGGGCCAAATACATTCAGACTACCACAGTGTAACTACCACTCAAGAAAGCGGGCTGTAGTAATTCAGTGCAGTCTCCATGTGATCCCCAGCTGAAAGCAGTGATTTCTGTGGGTGAACTTGGAGCAGCAGAAAATGTCCTCATGTGGGCAATTTCCTTTAGGATACCAAACTAGGGAGAAATGCATGGTAGCTAAATATGGGGCTTATTATACAGGTAAAATTTCTTCAAATGGACAAGTGAGGTAGGAAGGGGTCTTAGTCCTGTGACCTGAGTGAGGGTGGGGTGTAGAAAACCCAGACACCAGGTGATCCTGCTGACCCGCCAGGAGCTGCTGAGGAAGGTATCACAGCAGCAGCAGAGAGAGTCTTAACTTGAAGGAACAGTGAGAAAAAGGAGGACAGGCTATAACGAACATCAATAAGAAGGGAGATTGGTGGCACAGTGGGAGTGCATTCGAGTCCCCGTTTAAAGACAAGACTAACTTGGAGGGACACAGACAAAGGGTGGGAAGGCTCAGCCTTGGAGAGGGAGATGTCAGAGCTTTAAACCTTGGACATACATGAACGTACTAACAACGTTTAAGCCGGGCACACGTCTGTAGCCCACCGCTCAGGAGGTGGAGATAGGAGGGTGAGTTCAAAGCCAGCCTGGGCTACACAGTAAGATGCTATGTCAGTAAATAACAAAGTAAATCAGGAAGAGCAAAGTCAACCTACCATCTGGGGTGGGCACTTAAATTGAGAGGCAAAATTTTATCATTTAATGTGAAATGCCCCTGACAGGCTTGAGTTTGATCATTCTCTCCCAGTTGGTGGCACCTTTAGGAATTGGGGCCTAGCGTGAAGAAGTGAAGAAGCTGGATGATGGGGTTTAGAGCCTGGTCCTCTCTCTACTTTCTACATTTAAGACATGAGAGGGTGAAGAATCCTAGCTGCAAAGAACAACGCCCAACAACGCCTACCATGACGGACCGTACCCTGAAACCACGAGCCTATATATCCCTCCAGAAACTGCTTCTTGTTTGGTATTTGGTCACAGTAACGAGAAAAGTAGCTAGTACAGATGGTTTGAAAAATGAAGAAAAGTTTGGCTTAATAGACATTTCTAGAATCTAGAAGCCAGAACTTTGATAATATAAACAGACTCCTGCTTTTAAAAAGTAAAGTAGTATTTTAAAAATTACCAGTTGGTCCAGGTTACCAAATGCAGGAAATTTGCCTAAAGTGGTGCTTAGAAGATTGAGGCCTCAAGTTGTGTAGCAGAAATGAAAGGGTGAAAACTAAGGAACAGAAGGGGAGGGGAGGAGCTGGAGGAAGCAGAGAGTGACTGACAGTTGTCTGTGGAAGGGAGTAGAGCAGACAAGGCACCTGGCGGCAGCCTCAGCTGAAGTGAACGAAGTCCCGGCCTTCCTGCAAGTTCAGTGACTTCAGGTTGTCTTCAAACGCACCCCCTGTGAGGTCCTGTGGGAGGAGGAGATCCAGCTCAGTCAGGCTTCCTCTTGCTCTCGACTGCTGTGGGGACTGGATTGGGCCCACTTACCCTCCCTGCCAGGTGGCTCACAGTGAACTCCCGTTCCTCTGCTGATTAGGGGAGAGGCCTGAGGGAAACCAAAGGCCAGTGAGCTGCAGCTGGACTGCTGCTATATAGCTGTGTTGGTCACAGTAGGGTGAGGTACTGAGAGGCACCCTTGCCGTCTGGCCTTGGCCCTCTCCAGAGGGCAGTTAAGGTACTTTTCTGATTTACCTTTCCCTCCTGCTATTCGGGGAACTTTGTCTACTCTTTGCAAGATCTGCCAAGTGCCTACCCTGTGACTCTTCTTACCTGTCACCCCCACCCCCAGTCCCCAAAAAGGGAGCAAGGCCCATGATCTTGCTAAAGAACAGTCCAACTAGTGGCATCTGGAAGGATGTGGAAGGAACCGCTTTGTTCCTCTTAAGGCATCTGTCTTTTGGCCAGCACAACAGCTAGGCTGTGGCACTGACCCTACCTTGTCCCATCATTGCTGCTGGTGGTCGGAAACACTTGAGTGAATTGGGCAGTAGTGGCGTACACCTTTAATCCCAGCATTTGGAAGGTAGAGGTAGGTGGATCTCAGAGTTCAAAGGCAGCCTGGTCTACAGAGTGAGTTCCAAGACAGCTAGGGCTACAAAGTGAAACCCTGTCTCAAAAAAACAAAAAGTGAAAGAAAAACATCTGAGTGAGTTGCCTGGAAAAGCAGAAATGTCCACAGTGGCCACACCTGCCGCCCTTCCTCTTCTCCCTCTCACTTCCCCTCCTTTCCCTTCCACAGTCAGAGAAGTTATCGGGCTTGGGCCAGGGTAGGTAGAGTCTGCCCCCATGAGACTTAACAGTGTTGGACACAGAACTACTCACTGGATGCTCCTGTGTTTAACATGATCTGAGAGAGTGAGAGAAGGCATGAAGGGAAGGGGTGTCTGCAGGACACAAAGCCAGCAAGGGCTAACACCGGAGTTGTAGAGGACTCTGCCAACGTACTCCAGAGGAGAAATTCCCGTTATAAACATGGCAGAGTGAATCTAAATTACACCAGATGAGTGGTGCTCAGCTTTAAGTCAGACTACCCCACACCACAGCAAGATAGTTCTCCAAAAGGGTATACAGGCCGTCCAATACGGTTGGCCGTTGGAGGTGTCACAACCGGACTTCTCTCTTAGGACAAACCAGAGGAATGGAGCTCACAGCAGCATGGCTAGTGACTCCCACAAGCCATGGTCCTGACATGCCAACCGGACCCAATAATCTGAAGGCGTAAGTCACAGACAATCCCACACCAGTTTGGAATTATGATTAATAGAATGGTTATTTATTCAAAGGGGAAAAACTTACAGATTACCGTCCCAGACAACAGCCCCTCCGCGCGAACAGGAAAGGAGTCCAGGGGCCGGAAACGGAGCCGGAAGACAAAGACAGAGTGGAGGACAGCCGTTGCTTTTTTTAAAGGGAGAGAGACCACGCCCCAATGGGCTGGTAACTCAGCGGCGATTGGCTGAAGGAGCTGAAGGAACTCCCACAGCATCTCCCCCTTTTGTTTAAGTAAGAGAGTTCTAAGCCTACTACGCAATTATATACAATAAGTACAAACCTACGAAATTATATACAATAAATACAAATATCCTATTCTAACTAGCTTAAGTCTTGTATAACAAATAACTTGGCCAAGTCATGAAAGGAAAGTAACTACATTTATATAATCTTCAATCCCATCGAAGATCTGAGAAGGGAAATAATGTTATCTGAGTAATTAGGAAGTGCAATCAAACAACTTCCAGAACATGTACCAAATTGCAGAGACAACTGGCTACCTGGACAAACACCCAAAGTCACATTTGCAGCGTTGAAGCAACCAACTTTGGCTAAGGCCTGATGTAACTGACATACCATTTTCAAAGGCAAGAAACTTCAAAACTATCTTACCCTGTCTTGGCAGGATATGACAGTCTTGTTTTATCCATTTACGGATATTCTGTAACTCTGTCAGTAGTTGAGGTATGAGCATTTCTTTACCCAAAGGCCAGTTCTGCCAAGAAGAAAGGCTCCAGGTGGAGTGTCTTTGGTGCTCAACATTCTCTCGGGCATAGATCAGTGTTGCCAGGAGTGATTGTGTCTCCCTACCATAGAATTCTGAATTAGATTAAAGGCCATTTTCTACAGCTCTTTGAAGAGGTTGAAGATTATCTATCTATACTGAATATAATCTCTATATATCTAAAGAACCTGATTAGTCTAATTATAAATGACAAACTTAGATGACTGTTGATCTATATAATTCTCAATATCTATCTAACTTAAAAACTGAGATAATAAACAACTGTGCAATAAATGAGGACAATGTGACCTCCAAATATAAACAATGTGCAAGTATACATTGCAATATGGTAAATATATATATCAATACATAAACAATATATAAGTATCTTAATCAGAGGTAGAAGTGTACAATGCAATATGGTAAATATACATATATCAATACAATATATATATACAAATACATAAAAATGTTTTAAACAGAGGTAGAAGCATGAAGCATGCATGCATAAAATAGTCAACATAATTTAACTTTGTATCAATATATAAGAATCGATACCAATATGTTTGTCTAAAAGCAATAACTCACAAGTACAAATCTATTTATCCCATAATCCAATTATCCCTCTTTTTTTTTTTTTTTTTTTAAGATTCCTGCACTTATAAAATTCCTCCCCCAACCCTCAACCCTATACTAATTATAACCAACCCCTAAATGATGTCCCTAAACCCAAGGACAAACTTTACTGGGAGAGGGGACGTCGTTCTCTAGAATTACTTCCAGCTGTCATGGGGGCGACGTTCTTTCTGGGGGATCCTGTGAAAGTAAAATGATGGTTAAATTTCAAGATCAATGTCTTTTAAAATTGCAAATAGTCTCTGAGTATTTTGTGGAGGTCTGGCCAGAATGTTGTACAAGATGTGCACCATTTCAGCACGTTGGAACCGTCTTGTGCAGCTGGTACCCAAAACAGGTCTTGTAGTAGCGCTATCAGTATCATGACGTCATATCAACCAGGTGGAGTTGTTGTTATGGGGCCCCATCTTCTTCCTGGAAACTTTAAATGTCACTGTAGGAAAAACTCATTGTTCATTGTGGAAAACTTAAACATTAATTATATAGACATATACATGAATACCTATATTCAATGAGAGACATGATAGATATATTTAATGAAGGTATGATAGATATGAAGAAAAGTAAAGATGTTTTCTAAACTCATATTTCTTTCTGTCCCATATCATGGCTCTTGACATGAGACAGAAACTCCAGAAACTCTGGGTTTTTCTTTACACAACAGGCTTGGAATTAGAGAGGGACTGAGCCAGAGTCCAACTCTAAAACCAGCTCTATAAATTTAGAAATATGATTTAGTATATGGTACTTACAGAACCTATTCAGTTTTCTTGATAGTCCCTATTGGGCCGTTATTTTCCATCTGTCAGTATTCAAATATCCAGGGTCCCTTGAACTTTTCAAAGATCAGTGTTTTCCTGTGGAGATAAGAACAGAACCCTGCCCCCATTTTATATGCTTTTCTTACCACCTGTACGGTTATCATCATTGTAGATGCTGTCATTTCTCCTTTGCAAGAGGTTTCTCCTCTTTAAATCGAACCTTTATTAATTTTGATGGTATCCACAATTTTTCTTCTCCTGTGGAAACAAGAGCAAAACCCCTTCCCCAACGTAGCACATCTCCTGGCTTCCATTGAAAAGAGCAACCCGGAAGCCGCGTATGCCTCCACGTGACCGAGTCGTTCTGATTCACGCCACTAAAGCACCGCACTTACAAGGGAAATTTAAAAACAACTCAGAAAAGAGCAAACCAGGCTTGCAGAGATTGTCCCGAGCCTGTGGAGCTTGGGAGGCGTGGGGTTTAATTGAACTGCTGGCTCCACATACAGGGCACAGGCCGCAGCTGAGGGAGGTCTCGTGACTAGCCGAGCTGGTAGCAAGCAGTTGAGTGGGGGGGGAAGGGGGGGTTCTACAACCAAACGTGGGGCGCCAGATGAAGGCGTAAGTCACAGACAATCCCACACCAGTTTGGAATTATGATTAATAGAATGGTTATTTATTCAAAGGGGAAAAACTTACAGATTACCGTCCCAGACAACAGCCCCTCCGCGCGAACAGGAAAGGAGTCCAGGGGCCGGAAACGGAGCCGGAAGACAAAGACAGAGTGGAGGACAGCCGTTGCTTTTTTTAAAGGGAGAGAGACCACGCCCCAATGGGCTGGTAACTCAGCGGCGATTGGCTGAAGGAGCTGAAGGAACTCCCACAGCAATAATCTATACCACATAGATGCTGAGAGGAATCATAAGGACAAAAAGTTGGGATCTGTTCACAGATGGCCACATGAGTGGCAAGCAGACGGTCCTACTGTGCGTACACAGTGCTATACAGATGCCAAGAAGGTGTTCTGCCGACTGGGGCCATCATGCTGTGAGCCCCATGTGGTGTCTTGCTACTGCCCATAGCTCTTCTGAGCCTGGACGTACTACGTAGGGTACTTTGGACACTTGGTCCAGCCCCTTGGAACAACATCTGCACTGTTCTTAAGGAGGCTGTAACTCTGCCCTGTGAGCACACATCCTCTCTTCTAATAAAGCTACTTACGAAAAGAGGTGGATGGCTAAATGTGACCTGTAGGCCAGTGGTCGCCAACCTGTGTCGAGCCATCTTCTGTGTGTCATGGGCCACAATACAGCAGTTCACTTAAATAAATATAAAAATAGCCTCCTTCCATGGTGAGACCCTGGAATGTGAGCAGAAATGATCATCTCAGCCTTACCAAGAGAAAGGGCTGCCTAATGTGAGGCTGGGACAATTAGACGTACCAAACAGATTAACTAGGGATTCCTAGTTAACCTTTCTATCAAAATAACTTCTCACCGTATCACAGATAGCAGAAGTCCTAGACATAGGTGTGGGCCGTCCTGTGTAAACCACATGATCAAGAATATCCATCTCAGAATGAATCAAACTTCCAACGAGGGGGAAAGTCAAATAAGGTAAGTTACTCTAGATGGCAAAATACACCATCCACTTATAAATTAAAATTCTGGAACGAGAGATGGCCTCAGTAAAATGCTTGCCGCACACGCATGCGGACCTATGTTCAGTCTCTGGCACCACTGTGAAGGCTGGTGTGGTGGTATACACCTGCATGCCAGCAGTGGGGAATTGGGGACGGAAGAACCCCTTGGGTGTGCCTCCCAGCTAAAGAGTGAAAGAGCCTGTCTCAATAGTGATGATGATGATGTAGAAAGCAACAAAAGCCAGTATCAACCTCTGACCTCCCCTAGCATACACAAATATACCACACACACAAAGAATATTCAAAATATGTAACACATCACAGGTAGGTCCATCTTTCCTACTGTGTTAAAAGAAATGCTACAGACTGCTAGAAGATGCTTGGTACGCTGTGGAAACAGCTAAGGAGGGGCTTTTCTCTCCCACAGTGTCATGCGCTCAATGCTGTTAGGTACCTGTTTCCAGGTGTGACTGTTATCTGCTACTGTGTGACATGACTCCATAGGAGACACAAACACATAGACGTGTCTCACTTTCTGGGGGGCTAGAACCAAGGCCTAACCCTGTAATGACCGGAAATGAGCTGTCACAGATTGGAAGCCATGGGTCGAAACACGGGCTGAAGTTCTACCTGTGGCCCACCCCTATTATCCCTGCATGACCCAACGTGCGGGGAAAGCGGCAATTGGAGGCTGAGCTCCCACCATAACCATCACTGGTAACACAGGGTGACAGCGCTATCTTTGAAGCTGGTAATACCTTGTCCTGTGGCTGCTGACATTTAGGGTGGCCATGCTCGCTCTCCTGGTAGATGTCTGGAAATTCCCATTAGGACTTTGAGAGAGACAAACTATCCAAGAATAAAAGGTGTCAAGCAAATAATAAACAGCTTACCAGCACTTGCCGTGAGACCTTTAGGGATAAAACTCCCCTGGACCCAAACCTGGAGCGGGATGGTGGGTGGCTCAGAGGCCAGTGATCAGCAGATACAGTTTGACAAGAGTGACTGGGGTAGAAGGTCTGCTTAGCTCTGCCTCAGCCTGCACCCAGAAGCTTCTCAGTGAAAAGACAAGCCCATTTTACTACAGTGAGGAAAAGCCATGGACGGATAAGGCCACTGACCCACGAGCAGGACATACTAGCCCTCTACAGCCCAGTACACATCCCTTCCAGGTGGATGCTTTCTGCTAGTAAACATGACGTTCTGTCTAAGGAAGAACTCCCTATGCAGGATCATCATCAAATCAGTTAATGTCACCCCATTAAAGAGTTCTGGGAATAATATCTGAAGAGCAGACTCCTGAGAGAGGGAATGTCTGCCACATGCTTGACCAGCCAAGAAACAGTGTCCAGAGCAGATGAGGGAAGGTTAGCCCTAGCTCCACCAAGAACCTTGCTGTCCCATCATTGTTAGCTTGGCACAGTTGTTTCCTGGAGAGACTGTGGGATTCTGTGTAACACTGACCTCAGGTAACCTTGTTTTCCACAGAAACAGGATGCTTGGCACCTATGTCCACATGACCAAAAGCGGAGAAACCAGATGAACCAAAGCAGGGTCCTGTGGCCCCACTGGTCACCACCAGGCTGTTACTCTATGTGGGCAAGGCTGCCCTTTGTGTAACATGAGCCACAGCACCTTGAACATGGTGGCTGGGCTCAAACAATGACTTTGAGAACAGCTTTAGGAGGGTGTTACCAGGCGTGCCCACCTCATCCCCTACCTCTAACCTAGCTCAGGGTGTTTTTATGGCCACGGGGTAAGACCTGTCCCCTCCAGTGTTATATTCCTCTCTAGTGCTGGGATTAAAGGTATATACCACCTGCCACCTGGCCTCTATGGCTAACTAGTGTGGCTGCTGGGATTAAAGGTGTGTGCCACCACTACATGGCTGACTAGTGTGGCTTTGCACCCTGATCTTCAGGCAAGCTTATTTATTACAACACAAATAAGATACCATCATAGTTGGTTTATAAGAAGGATATAGGTAGCGGGCTATGCTCCAGTGCCCATGGTCAGGGCCCTTGGTTTTAGTTACTTGATCAGAGTGGGAAAGCACCGAGGAGCTCCACAACCAGAGCCAACACTCACCAGCTTCACACAGATGACAAAGGGTGACCGGGCGGCTTGGAAATGCAGGATGGGGACCTTCGGCTTGGGTCTCTCCTATAAAGATGGTGTCAGCCATGAGTCACTAGGGCATCACACAGAAGGAACTCCCTGGAGCCCGTCCTAACCATAGCCTCTACTCACAGTAGCTTGTGGTCAAGTAGCTGATGGGAGTCTTGGGCCAGTCGGGGCAGGACAGGTGGTTGTGTCCTGGATTCTGGCAGCCCCAGCCACCTGATAGCCACAAGGACCAACTCTGGTATGCCAACATTGAGGCCCATACTGAAGGAACATGTAGCGGGTTCCCCAAGGACAGGGGCAGAGTCCTAAGGGGTCCTGGAGACTCTTTGAGGGCTGAGGGCTACATTTTTGGGCAGAGCCAAAAATGCCAAAGTATAAGGGAAAGCTGGCATGGTATGGATGATCCTCCCCTCTAAGGTGCTTTGGTGCTCTGCCACACGGCTACATTACCTGAGACTCCTCATGGCAGTAAAAGCCCTTTCTGATCTTGTTCTCATCAACATCACAGAAGGCCACCACCTGGGAGTGAACACGGGCCAGCAGGTCAGATGGTGGTTACGGGTGTATGATAAAGACATGATAGGATTGAGGGAGTCAGGATAGTGGCCAACAGGATGAGGAGGACAGGGTCCTACCTTGCACCGACTGGCTGCTGTCAGGCTGCGGTATAACCTACGCCCCTGCTTGCCTGCATTCCAAATGGTGAAGGATTTCCAACGGGGTAGGACTTGTTCCTCTAGGAAGTGGACTCGGTGGGTCCAGATGGTAATCCTGTAGCCAAGTAGAGGGGAAAGCTAGGGCTAGCCAGATGTGGGCTCCAGAGTCACCTTACCCATTAGCCCTGGGGACACACATGAATGGCTCAAGTATATTTAGGCTTACCCTGTTTGAGGGTGGGGGCACATGAAGTCTAAACCAAGGGAGATCTGGCTCTATGTGCACACCACTGTCTCAGAGGTCACCATGAGCCACTATGTAAACCAATGCTCTTTGGGAAGCCTTTAGCCATATTGATCGTAATTTCTATTTGGGACCCTGAGAAATATAAACTGTGGAGAGGATGGGGCCTCTCCACAGCTGCCAGTTCCACCAGCACACGAGTGTCTCCAGTATGTGGCAGGTATGTATACGTGTGCACATATAGGAGGGTTCATGCAAAAACCAGTGGTTGGCATCAGGTACCTTTATCATTCTCTACCCTACCTGAGACAGGGTTGAACCTGGAGCTCGCCAACTCAGCAAGACTACAGCAAGCTTCAGGGATCCTGTTTCCCTTCTCGGCACGGAGGTTAAAGGTGTGCATTGCCTTAGCTTTTTATGTGGGTGCTAGAGATTGAACCTGGCTCTGTCGGTGAAGTGCCTGCTGCAGAAACATGAGGACCTAAGTTCAATCTCCCCAGGTTCCAAATTCTAAATGTGGCAACTAGTCCTTTGGAGCTGGTGAAAAGGTGTCACAGTGGACCAAATCACCCCGATCTAATTTCACAGAGGAAGGTCTGGGCAAACAGGTCATAGTCACACTAGGAAATAAACTTTCTCCCTTAGATGTCCCTTTCTGGGCACAGGCAGACTTGCCCCTCATCTGAGGGCCTCCCAGACCTAGCACGCTATCCTTTGGATGGTGCCTCCCTGTACTCAGGGCTGCACCTCCTGATGTCACTGCCCACATCAAAGCATGCTTTGCCTGTTCAGCATTTCCGAGACCTCCTGTGTGAAAACACTCTAATTAGGGTTGTGCCGAGCTCAGTGGTTTTGGTAGGGGATTCCCTGGCGGTTCTGGGGAACAACATTTAATCCTGAACCCCAGCCAGTCCTCTCGATGGCTGCAGTGCCCCCTTTATAAGAGAGAGTCACACACAGGACATGCTTCAGCCCCAAACACATACCTCTCTACAGCCATACTGTCATCCAAGGAAAGGGAAGATCCTTGATCTCACATCAGACCTCAAGCAAGGGTCAGATACTTCACACCAATGTCATAAGCCAAGAAAGGCTCTTCTGATTTCTATCTCTCAGCAAACTTTAGAGTGGTGGTCCCAGCCAGTTTCAATATGTGAGCAGAAGGGTAGAGTCAAAGGCAAAAGATCAAGACTTGCCTTTTGAGGCACCCCCAGCAGAGGTGGTGACACACACGTCTGTCTGCTCTGCCTAAGTGTGGGTGAGGGTTCTTGACAAAATGAGGTTGAAGCAACCCCAGGCACAGGCTTCTCAGACCCTGTGAGATGCCAGCAGACCAACCTCCATCTCACTGTGAGATGCCAGCAGACCAACCTCCATCTCATCCTAGCCCCAAGTGCCCCCACTTCTCTTCTGCCTCCAGGAGGGACCTTTGCAGGAAACCTGTGTGGAGACAGCCCACTGTGAGGGTTCATGGACATATCAACACAGGAGTTGCAGCAGGGGCTATGAGAGACCTCTATGTCTCAGGTTCCTCAAGCAATGTCCTGCCTAGCAGCTGCTTATCCTTACTTGACCTCTGAGGACACCCTGAGAGTTTGTTCCTTGGTCACTACAAGAGGTCTGTTTTGGTCAGTCCCTGAGCAAGATGTGATGTAGACTGTATGCATCAAATCCATGAGGGTATATGCACAGTGCTCTTGTGCAGTATATGTGCACACTTGCCATGACTGCCCATGTGCCTTTCTGCATGTATGTATGTGGCATGGTCATAGGTAAGTAAACACGTACAACAGCAGCTCCTGCTAGAGACTAAGCATGGAAGATGTGTTAGTGAGATCCTGCCCACGCACTTGCTGGGTCCACTGGGAATCTGTGTGAGAAAAATCTCTGATCCTGCTATGCTCCGTCTGTGAAGCTTACTTGCAGGATGGTGGGTTTAACTGGGCAGTGAAGTCAACTTCACTGGGCACCAATGATTTTATACAGCAATCCCAAACCAGGACTGGGCTCTAGCTGTAAGGCCTTTCGCATCCTGAGTTTTGTTAGGTGGCTTCTAGTGTGTGTGTGTGTACAGTTATTAAAAGGTGTGATGCAGAAACTGCTGGACATCTGGGCCTTGCTAGAGCACCTCGCACTGGTCTTGTTTCTCCTAGGAATCTGCCTGAAGAACAGGCCATCTGGCACCCAGCAAATTTGTCTCTTTTTGTTAAGAAACCATCATCTTAGAGCTGGGATCAACAATTAAGGGAACTGATTTTCTTGGACCCAAATGCCTACATTGAGGCTGAAACATCACAGACTCCGTCCGTACTGTACCACCCCACAAGAGTCCATGGGTAAGCAGTGGCTGGTGGGGTGGGAAAGGCCCCTATTCCCAGAAGGCATGGGCACTGGTCAGTAGCATCTGTGGCCAGAAACAAAAGGCTATAAAAATCTTGCTAGAGGCACACAGGGGATGGCCCACCTGTCCTGCCAGGTACCACAGCAGCCGTATGTCAGCATAAGCCGTCTTGGGCTGATTACCAGGGGTCAGGACATGTCTGGTCCCCTCATCCCTACTTTTGATGTACATCTTGTTGCTGCACTTATCTGGGGAAAGGACCCCATTTAGTTCTCTCCAAATATTTGACAAAAGCACAAACCCAGCATCATACTGCCAGGTAATAGAACAGGTCAGAAACATACTTCTCTACAGACCTCAACTGTGAGAATGGGAAGCAAACAGCTTGCAGAATATTGGCAGCCTGGGTATCATAGAAGGTTAAACATGTTGTAAGATAAAAGAACCCTCAGTGAAAGCATAAAGGCACCAGAAGAAGTGGCAACAGTCAGTTCAGCAGCTCACAAGTTTAAGGGATGCTTGATTTCCTGAAGGTGCTATTCTCCTCTGTGTCCTTTGGTATCTGAGGTGTTACACACATGCACAAAGATAAACGACACAAATTCAGGCCATTCTGAGCTTGAAATAAAAACGACAGAATCACGGTATTGCCACCTGAAGACTTCTGATAGATTAGAGAACCAACTCTCAGGCGAGCCTCACGTTATAATTACAGCTGTTATCCCGGGAGGTGGTGCAGCTCACAGCTCAAAGACTTTAATCCGACACAGAAACTCACATTAGATCACTTATTTTTATGCTGTGGGTGGCAAAGCTTACTGTGAAAACACAAAGGCATGAACTCTGTCTACACAGGCCGCTCTGCTGAGGGCGTGAGGAGTGCCTGCTGGGTGGGCTGCAAGCCACCACCCAGGAGTCGAGCCTCCCAGACAAGCATGGGAAGGACCCCCCTTATACAAATGACCGCATGATCTCAAGGCGTCTCACGCTCATGTGGCCCACAGAATGATGGGAGAGGAGTGTAGTGTTTCGGCCAGCCAGTAGAATCGGTACTGGAAACACCTGCAGCTTGGTTCCCAGATAGTTCCCACAGTGTTCTGTCACTAATTTCTACCTCTATCAGTGGACACTGGGAAGGGGTTCCTTCCTGGGAGAAACAGTGCTGTGTGTTTTAATGCAGATATAGTTTACACAGGAGGATGTAAACCTATACTAGCTGATTTTTAAAACAGCTGTACTCTTGGTCTGTATCTGTTTCATTCGCACTGCTGAACCTAGGTTGCTAATGTGACAAGGTTCTAGTGAGTACATATGGTCCGTCGCCCATCGCCTGTAATACCTGTCTCATACACAGCACAGACTCAAGAGTTAAGATGCTCTCTCTTTTATACTAAGAGCAAGCCCGGTTCCACACCTTTAATCAGTGGGCTTGGAGGGCCAAGGACGGACGGCCCGCACCAAAGAAGAGTGAAAAGGGGTCATCGGGTACGGAGGGTCGTTAGCCCATCAGATCTTTTCTTGGGTCCCACGGTGAGCTGCGCTAGGTTAGAGCAAATGAGGACAAAGCTGAGAGCAAGCCTTCACCTCACACCATCAGGAAAACTGGTATTTGGCTTTGGCACGGATATTTCCTGACCTCTGGAACAGGACATCCAATAGTCCTGAAGGACTTACTATGAGGTGCTATGGTATACTCCGACACACCCCTTACCTCCTCAGTGGTATTCCCTACACCCCACCATTATGAGCTTCATGAAGTCCTGACTCCACCAAATCACACCAGTGGCTTACAAGTGATCTGGGCCCGGCCACACCGGCACCTTACCCGTCCTTGCCGTCCCAGGTATTGCCAGAACTTGGTATGTCCTACTTACTCAAGGACCGAATGTGTGGCTGCATACAGGTGATAGCGGTAGAGGAGCAGGTTGTGGTCCACACGGAAGACGCCACCCCCTTTCCTAAGGTGCTCATAGAAGAACAGCAAGTCCTCTGGTACCCCCTGAAAAAGCCAGAGGACAGAACTCACCATGCTGGGTACTGATCCAGGCCGTCAGGAGCTGTGGAGGGGTGTTTTGTTTAGAGCCAAGGATGGTGGCTCTTGTGGCCCCAGTGCTCACGGGATCGCTTGAGCCCAGAAGCCAGGGCTCAGCCTGAACACCACAGCCAGACTTTGCCCCAATAAAAGAATCCACTGTTGACACTCAAGGGTGATGTAGGTGGGTGCAGGTCACATGAAAGAAATGGAGATTAGTAACATGTTTCCTCAGCAGGTGAGGGATGAACTCTAGGGAAGACATGAGGATGAAACAGAGGGTAGGTTGTGTGTGGATCTGAAGTCCAGTCCTGCCTTAAATTCTACTTTGTGGGGCAGAAGAGATCTTGGGGCAAACTATCAACAATCAGTGAGCACAGAGCTGCATGGCTTTGGAAAATGGAAATCTCATCAATGTGGCAAAAAAAAAAAAGGTGGGGGATTGTTAGCTAGTTTCCCAGGAGGCCCTCAATGAGTTGCTGAAAGGGGAGCAGTCGGGTGCATCAGAAGGCAAGGATATCCCACCTGAGCGCAGTCTGTTACAAGGTTGTATTTTAACCTCATGGTCAGAAGGGGGCGATGTTGAGCCATGAACCAGGAAATGAGCAGAAAAGACAGGGAGGTGAAAAGTACACTTGTCTCAAGCAGAACAAATACTGCCATGATGAAAATTCACTTCCTCCCACACCAAACATCAATGTGCTCACAAACAAAACTTGAGACAGGTCTCTGAGCTGTATCTACAGCCTTAACAAACAGGAAGGTGTGGCGGTGGGGACATTTTGGATGGAAAAATCAATACCCACTCAAACTGGTTTCAAAACAGAGAGTAAATAACACAAAACAGATCTGAGGAAGGGCTTAGCTCAGACTGGGGTCAGGCTCACCAACAGAGATGTTGCTTGGGGGTGAGAGTGTTCACTACTGCTAGGCAGGGGCTGGAGGACAGCATGGCCATATGGCCTGATAGCCAATTCCCTGCAGGATACAAGCCAGCCCTGGCTCATTTTCACAAGTAGGTGAAGGTATGACCTGAGGACTCAATAGACCCAGAGATAGAGACAACGAAGCTAACACCTTCCTTATCACCTACAGTTTCCCACCAACAGCCATTAATGTAAGCTGAGGTACCGTGAGCCCACAGCCAAGATGCACCAGAGAAGTTGTGGCTCCGAGGATGTTCACCAAAACCCACTGCAGTTAGCACAATGGTGAGAACCACAGGGTACTGGAAAGTGTAGTGGGGTAAACTTGTATTTTGATAAATAAATCTTGCCTGAAGACCAGAGGCAAAGCTAAAGCCACTAGAGGTCAGGCAATGATGGCACACACCTTTAATCCCAGTACCCACACTAGTTTGCCACAGAAACCAGGTGGCACACGCCTTTAATCCCAGCCCTAGAAAGGAATATAAAACGGAAGGAGACAGCTCTCAGACACAGTCTCATTCTGAGATTCCTGGACGCAGGATCGTCACGTTGGACTGAAGAGAGGTAAGAGTCAGGGACTGGCTGTATTGTTTTTCTGACCTTCAGGTTGTGAACCCCAAGTTCTGTCTCTGAGTTTTTATTATTCATGCTACAGGAAAGAGTCTGAAGTGATTTCCTGAAAACTCTGGCCTTATCGGTGCCCTGCAGGCAACCCCGCCCCCAGCCACCACCTAGAGGAACCCAGAGAGAGCCCAAGTTCTACTGGGTAGCCTTACCTGTCCTCCTTCATCAAACAGGCCCACATGGGAAAACCAGGCCCGAGAGCAGAACCACGTGGGCATGATCACCGTGGGGCCATGGGAGGTGAACACCTAAGAGAAATCAGCACCAATGTCATTGATAGGAAAGACCAGCTTGTCAGGAACAACCTACAGCCTGTTACTCACGTGTCATTAAGAAAGTGACAAAAGAATTTATGCCCCTTTCTTTGTGGGAACAGGATTCACAAGACAGACAGGAGGAAATTAACCCAGGCAATCCCAGGTCCCCACTCTGCAGCTGATGCTCACTGCTAAGCACATTAGGGAACCCTCTGCTTATGCAGGAGGTGAAGCTGTATGTGGGGACCGACAGTAAACACACTGCTTCTAACTGCAAGAAGAGAAATCGGAAGGAGCACGAAAGGATACCAACCACGACTAGACAATGACACGCAACATGGCTTCCCGGAATGACATAAATATCAGAACTGACTCAAGACACAAAACCTGAGTAATTTCTAATAGCTTGAGACTTCCCACAAAAAAAGTCATGGCCAGGTGGGTCTCTGGTGAACACTGCTTAAAGAACCAGCACCCTCTTCACAATCTCCTCCTAAAACAGTTCTGCAGAGTCCTTTGAAGTCACTCTATGTAGCCAGGGTCACCGGATCAAAGCAGCACACGTAAGTGATCCTTATGAACAGAGCCACAAAAATGTGTCACAGAATAGAACCATACTCACAAGTAGGTGGTATTTACCCCCAGGATAAACGCACCAAAAACAGACTGAGGGCGAGAGCCTAGATAGATGCTGTAGCATCTGGTAAAGCCCAGAGCTCTGCCAAGAAGAGCCCTGGGCTGTTGAGAGCATTGGCTGATATATATTGTACACAAAACCCTGGCACCAAGTCTGGTGCTCCACAGAACTCAGTTAAGGTCGGTGCCTCCACTGCTTAGGACTTTAGGGTTTGTCATGTACTTGGAACATACCCATCCTTTTTCATACACCGCCCCGCCTTCTTAGTAGCCAGCTCCTACGCATCCTGACCAACATGTCGTTAGTTAAAAGGCCTTTCCCGGGACGCCCTCCCTAGACTTTCTGTCATCATACTGACATGCAAGTATCTATGATTGGCCTCTCAGCACTGGCTGGAGCTTCCTGAGGGCAGAGAATGCCCAGAGAGCATCTCTCCTGGGAGGAAGATTTCAATACGCTTGCGTTACCTTGACTACAAATGGTCTGGGCCCAGTCTCAGCTGAACTCAGGACGAATGTCTGTATCAGAAAGGTAAAAGAGCAGCCAAGTCTTGTTGGATGTGGTAACTCACATCTATAACCTAGGCACTGGTGAGGTACCACAGCATGTCAATGTATACATACATATCAATGAATAAACAATAATTTTTTGAAATTAGGTTTAATGAATAAAGGTCCTTTTCACCAAGCCTGATGGCTTGAGTCCAACTCTGGAAACTGACATGGTAGGAGAAAACAGCCTCTCTCAAGTTGTCCTCCGACCTCCACATACAGGTAATAGAAGAAGCATGCTTATAATAGAATCAATGGATCAATGTTTAAACAATCTTAAAACCACACCTGTAATCTCAACACTCAGGAGGCTACAGCTGGATGATCAGGAGTTCAAGGCAAGCCTTGGCTACATGAGACTCTAGTTCAAAAAATTATAAATAAATTAATTAAAAAAACAAATAATAGTCAGTTCTCAAAGACAATGGTTATGGACTGAAGCATATCTAAGCCAGGTATGCCCTTGATGGGGAAAATGCCACAATCCTCGTAAGGAAGATACACAGCCCTAACTCCTGTGTCACCTGCTTCAAGAGTCTGTCCTGATTAGCGGTCTCCTTTCTCTGCTATCCCAGTCAGTAGCAGGAGGGCTCTCCAGTGGGGTGTGTCTAGGTGTGTCTTTGGCACAATGGCCACCTCACCACCACCACTCAACAAATCTCTATAGCTACAGTGTCCATTTGAGTGGTGAAGGTCATCTACGTTGCTAGGTTGCAGGGTATGGTGGCTGAGCAGGCCTGCTATCTGTGGTGACTACTACACCACATCCCAGGGTTACACCAAGAAAAAGCATCAAAGGGACCCTTGCCAATAGTCTAGTTCCCACCTCCCTGAAGTCTGGCTCAGCCCCTGATGGAGGGATAGCCTTCTAGCTTTTGTTCCAAGGATATGGCCGTCAAAAAGAAATGAGGCTGCTTCAATAGGGAGTCAGGGAGATTGCTCGGACCGGCGGGAAGTGGGGGGGGGCGCACAGGGGACAGGGCAGACACTGACATCTGGGGGAGCCAGGATCTAGGAGTGCCTGGATAAGTTTCTATGCCCATCCTCAGCAGCTTGAGCAGATGAGGGAGCCATGGGCAAAGGGCCATGCCAACATCGCTGCTATGAAAGCTGTCTTCCCTTGGGTAGTTCCAGTCCATGAGAGTCACTGATACCAGACAATTGATGATCAGACAGATGTTGGAAGAGGAAGGAAGAATTTTTCCAGATTCTTATCAAGGGTCCAAGTATCTGGCAGTTTGGGTAACACCCACTCACACAGAGGTGCCACACGGAGGGTGCTCAAACAAAGTCTGTGTGCTCCGATACTGAGCCACAGACACTAGGGCCCTGGAAACCCTAAAAGCAACCACTTTCAGGCTTCAGGATTCAATCCATAAGCATAAACCTCAGCTCCCTGGCTTTTTTTCTTTGTGAGACAGGGTCTCATTATGTAGCTCTGGCTGTCTTAGAACTCACTATGTAGACCAGGCTGGCTTCAAATTTACAAAGATCTACCTTCCTCTGCCTTCCAGGTGCTGGGATTAAACACATGTGCCACCATGCCTGGCTCTGTATCTTTTAAAGACTTATTTTATGTATATCAGTATTTTGCCTGCACGTATGTACGCCCATCCACCATGTTTGTGCCTGGTACCCTCAGGGGTCAGAAGAAGGCATTGGATAGAGAGGGACTGGAGATACAGATGGTTGTGAGGTACCCTGTGGGTGCCGGGAATTGAACCTGGTTCTTCTGCAAGAGTGAGTGTGTTTAAGCTTTCTAGCTCCTATTTCTACTTCTCGACAGAGAGGAATAGTGGGGTTTGGAGTCCAGGACCTTCTCATTTCTTTCTGAGCCTCAAGGATCCTTTAGAACGGAATTTGGGGCATCTTGTGGATTCCAGGAACCACTGACCAAGCACTAGCCCCACAGGGACAATGAGCTGTAGATGCTATTCAATACAGAGTTATCTATATGGTTTATTTATTTTGGGGGAGGTTGTTTAGAGGTCTTTTTTTTTCTTTTTGTTTTGTTCCATTGATTCCAGAACTTCCTGACCAAGATGTTACATTCCCAGTCCTCTCTGCTTTTATTTTGAGGCACTAAGTTACCCTGGCTGGTAGTGTTGGCTGTTATTCTTTTGGCTTCTTTGGGGTCCACCACTCAGCTCCGAAATAAATACACACATGGAGTCTTATTCTTTCTTATAAATACCTGGCCTTAGCTTGGCTTGTTTCTAGTCAGCTTTTCTTAAATTATCCCATTTATTTTGCCTCTGGGCTTTTTTCATTTCTTACTTCTGTAGTCTTAATTCTACTCTTACCCCGTGGTTGGCTCCTCCTTTTCTTGCTCCTTGATCTCTCTTGCTCTTCTCCCAAACTTCTATATTCTGTCTGCCAGCCCCGCCTATCCTTTCTCCTGCCTTGCTATTGGCTGCTCTTTATTAGACCATCAGGTGTTTTAACAGGCAAAGTAAGAGTTAAATACAATATAAAAGAATGCAACACATCTTTGCGTCATTAAAACAAATGTTCCACAGCAGAAACAAATGTAACACATCTTAAAATAATATTCTACAATTAGCCAGTCTTTAGCTTTCCAGCTTCAGTCTCAGTCTCCAGTATGACTGGGATTACAGGCCTGTGCTACCAGGCCCAGTTTATAGTCTAACTATAGAGGTCAAGTTGAACCTAGCCTCAGCAAGTTCAGTTCACTGCTAGAACTCTCTAAAGTTGAGCCTCCCCCAACCTCAGAGAAGATGCTTATCTCCTGACACCCAGTCCCCTCACCTCTCCGTTCCTCCCCATGGCACAAGGCCCAGACTCTCGGCACGACTATCAAGTCATCTTCCCCCATCCCCATCACTGACATCCTGACTCCTGCAGCTAGAATCCTAGACTGGATTTGGATGTCCAAAGGGACAGAATCAGAGGTTTTCCCAAGGCTGATGCTCTGCCCCACTGGAGAGGCCTTGCTAACAGCTCCAAGTTTAGAGCCTCAAGTGTTACTCTCTCGAGTGGCTGGCTCTTGACAAGGTCTGGGACCCAGGGTTAGAGGCTTAACCTCTGGGACTGGCTTTCACATCTAAAATGGGGATACTAGCCAAGCAAGGCGCCTGCCTTTAATCTTAGCATCCAGGAGGCAGAGGCAGATCTCCGTGCGTTTGAGGCTAGCCTGGTCTATATAGTGAGTTCCAGGCCAGCCAGAGCTCCACCAGCGAGACCTTATCTCAAAAGTACATAAATATTTCTGCCTATTTAAGTTAGGAGTTGAATGTATTTCCTTAACTTGCTATGGAGTGCTTAAAAACAACAGAACCAAATCCACAGTGGATGCCATGCATGACATGGTGCAATGCTGGAAGGTTGCCCCTGAGGTCAGAAATGTCTGCTCTCATCATCCCTGTTCAATGCTGTGAGTGAAATTCTAGCCAGTGCAAGTTGACAATAAATAAATAGAGCCTGCTTTGGAAAGGAACTATTTGAAGATCACATGATTAAGTTAAAAAAAAATAAGGAAAACACACATACACAATCTTTGTCAATAAATGAAGTCTGCAAAGCAAAATTCAACTGGATTCTAAGAACTAGCAAAAGGCTCTCCAAAAACAAAACGAAGAAAATACTTTCAAGCTGGAGATGTAGTTCAGTGGATAGCGTGCGTGCCAGTCTTCCCAGCAGCAGCTGCTGAAGGCACAGTTTTCTTCTTCAGTGTGATTTTTGGCACATCTGGAGAGATGAGTCAGTGGTTAAAGGAACTGGCTGCTCTTCCAGAGGACCTGGGTTCAGTTCCAAGTACCCACATGTCTGCTAACAAACATCTG